TATTGAGGCATTTCATCTGTAGTTATTGTTGCTTTGAAACTAAAGATATGGCAATAGGTAGCCTTGACCACGGGTGTGACTTTCAGTTGATATGGACTGCGGCATTGGTACATTAGACCTAGGTCAAAATTTCATGCATTGTCATATTAGGATGTAAATAAAAAGAAAATAACCATTAAGATCTGCAAAAATACTCGACCTTTGATTTAATTGTTTTTAGTGGTTAATTTGAGAAATATTAGGTCTAGAGTTAACTACCAATTTTCGTAGTAATTTTTATGCAGTCTACAATTTAGCGTTCGGTTTGTAAATTAATTGTTGTGCTAAATATTTTTTTACGATTATTGTTATTAATAACAGTCTTGAAATATTGCTCCTATTGATTTCACAAAACTCTATAATAATTCCATTTTTAAACCACGATTAAAATAATGTTGTATCAATTTAAAAAGTTCCATTTCGATTGAAGGTTGCATCCATTGCACCGCTTGTTTAACCGATGAATTTGTCTAAAGTTTACGTTGTGTGACGGCGATTTATTACAACTTTGTCATTGGAGTTTTACTTGACAATTAACTATTATTTACAAATGTCAGTCAGACGATTGTTTGGCGTTTATTGGTTGCTATTTAACCTTTTTGTTGGGCTTGGGCAACACCGAATGAGAGTTAGATCTTTTTTGTTTCATTTTATTTTTCAAAAAAAGCGTTCTTACTCATATCACAAAATTACTGACTATTATTTAGATCTTCATTCATATTTTTGTTAATCGAATTATCGCCTTAATTGTCGCCAAGAAAATAGTTTTTACTCTTATCACAAAGCTAATACAGATTTCATATAATATTAGGTTTTAAAAGCTGTCAAAATACAATATGAACAAATGCTTAACTAGGCTTTTTGCTTAGTCACTAACATCAGTTGAAAGTAACATAGGTCACTTAATATTACAATTGCCATAGGATGCCATAGTTAGCGGATTCATATTCCGCAATACCTACGTTTTCCTTGCAACATCAATTAATACAACACACGTTTAGATATTGGGTTCATTGAAATAATCCAAAGAATAAAATATAGTAATCAACATGTATAACAATCTGCCATTTTATTTTTAGCATGTTTACTAAAACTAAACTGATCTTTACGAAAGAGGTTACCTTGCAGTTAGCATGTCGATAAAACTTACTATGTTATTCGCAAACCATAGTTCGTGAGGTCGTCTCCAAAATTATAAGGCATTTTATTGCACCTATTGTGAGATAAAAACAAAGGCCATATAATTATTGAAATAGAGTCCAGACTAAGACGTCGTGATGACGATCGATACTTAATCACGATCTTTTGTTAGCCTTTGTGGTTCATTTGCTAATGACAGTCTAGGTCTTCACTAAACTGACTCTATTCGGTCAGGTTTTCCCAAACTGTTCGTTACCCCCATTTTTTACTATTCCCACTTCTCGTTCCCACCGCTGCAACTCCTGTGTAGCCAGGTTAGGATCTACAGCTTGACCGCCAATAAAAACCCAACCAGTGAAGGTCAAGTTTGTCCCGGGGGAAAGTTAAACTGTCATTGGACCCGCAACGAAATTAATCAGAAGAACATAGGAGGAGTTCGAAGTTCCATTTTCTTAATTGTTTAGCACCCCATAATCCATGATCATCATCATGGGGTCAGGTCATTTAGTCTCAACTACAGGGGAACACGACTTTCTCCAGGCAAAGAGGGCAATCTGCACTCTCTAAGTAGGCCAAACGCGTTTGGGAGGATGAGGAATGATGTTCGCATAATTCCTCCCTGAATCACTTCTTACACCATCCACGGGTAATTAGTTTACATTAAAAAAATTTGCCATTTATGAGATCTTTTTAGAATGTGGTTTAATTCATGGCAAAGTTTGAGAGACTATGTTTATGAAGGTCAACTCATGATTTATTGTTTCATAGCTTTCAATCATAATTTTCAAAGGCTTATGACACTTGCGTTACTTATGATGAAAAGTAAATTATAAAAATTAATCAAATCTTTAAATTATAAGTGTCTCATGAATATGAAAAGTTATTTAATTTGGTTTTCAATATCTTGTCAATCGGGGTGTAAAATTGTCATTAAAATTTTATTATCATTAAAGTAAGTAACTTACTTCATTAGGTATTAGCACAGAATACATAAATTAGAAAGAAATTGACTTATAGAATCCTTAATAAATTAATATTCACACAACCTTATTGTTTAACAACAGAACCCTAAACAGTTCAAAGATAAACCGATACAAAAATTAGCATCTTTGTGCCCAAAGCTCATGTGAACTTAATGGACAGAAACTTGTAAATCTAAACCAGTGTTTATTGTGAAATTAATTAGACAAGCCATGACCTCGGCAGCCGGACCGATGGGAATCGAAGTGACTGATCACTTGGCATTTATTGATTGTGATGCTAATACCAACTATTGTGCTCTTTAAAAATACACCTGTGTTTAGTGTCGGACAAATAAATGTTGAAGTTTAGTTAGACATGTGAATAAAGTTACGGATGACGACACCTTACGTAGTTGTGTGACTACTCATATCGTATAAGAAAAAGGGGTTTGATGTGCTAAAACTATTGCGCCCAATATGTAGATTTTTAGATAATAAATATTTGAGCAATAATTACTTAGATCATGTTTCCTCATCAGCCAGGCAGTTTTGACAAATCCAACCCCTTGCCAAACAAGTCCTATGGGACGTCCACTGCTGAACATAGGCCTCCCCCAATGCTTTCTATGTTACCCGGTTGGTAGCGGCCTGCGTCCAGCGCTTTCCTGCTACTTTATGCTGTCGTCGGTCCACCTTGTGGGTGGACGTCCCACGCTGCGTTTTCCGGTACGCGGCCTCCACTCCAGAACCTTGCTGCCCCATCGGCCGTCAGTCCTGCGTACCATGTGCCCTGCCCATTGCCACTTCAGCTTGCTAATCCGTTGGGCTTCAGCTATTATAAAATAACTAACGGTGTTCTCTTGGGCTCTGGGGCTCTTGCTCTATGTATAGACGACAGCACATCAAGGCAAACACTGTGTCATCTTATGTACTTGTAATGGGGGCGATTTACAATAAAAATGTGCAATCTGATGTGTTTCCCACTGTAGGTACGTTCGTATCGTTTCAGCCAAACGATNCAAATGACGTCCACTGCTGGACAAAGGCCTCCTCCAAGGTTTTCCACAATGCACGGTCCTGCGCTGCCCGCATCCAGGCTTTTCCCGCGACCTTTACCAGATCGTCGGTCCACCTAGTAGGAGGCCTGCCCACGTTACGTCTTCCAGCCCGTGGTCGCCACTCGAGAACTTTTCTGCCCCAACGGCCATCGTCTCTACGAGCTATGTGCCCCGCCCACTGCTACTTGATTTTAGCAATTCTGCGTGCTATGTCGGTTCCGACTGTACATTGTGAATCAAAAGCTTGATCTTCCGACCAGTGTATTCGAGCTTGGGAAGCTGCATCGCTCATTGATTGTTTATAGTCTTGATAATGACCGCCCAAATGCAAATGATGAAATAATAGTTCGCAAATCAAGCGTGACTACAATTTGTAGTTAATGTTGAGGGGAGTTCACATACGAGCATTTCTATTGTACCTGATACATTGAAAAAGCATTTGTTAGACTTTTTATATTGTTTTGTTTTTTTACCATGCTTTAATCCAGATTTTACCATGCACGTTTCTTTTGTATTTTAAAATTTTAGAGTGCATTAAAGTTCCAATGTTCGTGAAGTAAAGATGTCGTCATACGTTATACTTATTAATACGTCATTAGGTAAGTATCTGCAGATTTATATTTTCATGAATGGAACGATAAAGTAATTGAATGAAGAGACTGATGATAGAGATGAAATTAATGTGACGTCACGGTTTTTTAATAAACAGTAATAATTATAGCCCTAGAAAAAAAATCCTTCTATACATACATTATTTTTGCCTATTTTATGACGAGAATCACTTTAAAAAAATACTTAGACGATTCAAATGGTCATTGCAGGTCGATAGATAACAACTTAAAGTTCAAAGTGTACGCACCTTTATGTTTATTGTTTATGGCAGATGTTACTCTATGAACATGGCTTTAATGTCAATGTCGTAGCCTTCGCTTCATTCTAAATTATTTTAAATGATTACTCTTTTGTTGTTACTATTGATTGGAAAACAAAAGACAGTAATATCAAGATTGACATTTGTAATTAGAATTTGACATTAACCTGAGTCTACATTCTTTTACCGCCATCAGTAATTATATTGACAGTTAAGAGCCGGTATTAAGCAACATTGCTAAAAGTCGATTCTATCTTATGTGCAGATTTAAGCCTTCGAATAGTTGAACTTTAACCCCCTTATAAATAAAAAGACACACCTAGGATGAACTCTGGATTAAAATGACATTTCCATACTAAATGACAATAAGCCAGAGTTCAACTAGGGTGTAATTTTAAACTAATCACAGGACAGAAAAGTTCTCGAGTGGCGACCACGAACCGGAAGACGTAGTGTGGGCAGGCCTCCCACTAGGTGTACTGACGATCTGGTGAAGGTCGCGGGAGGTGCCTGGATGCGGGCGGCGCAGGACCGGTCTTTGTGGAAAACCTTGGGGAGGCCTTTATCTAGCAGTGGACGTCTTTCAGCTGAAACGAACGAATCACAGGACAGCAATCCAACAGTTCAAATTGGCTTTTCAAGGATATTACGGTCCTAAAATGTTTCAGATACCAGTCAGTTGAAAAAAAGTTATTATGTATTTATTTTTTATGTATCTATATTTTATGTAATTTTAATGAATACCTTACACTATTGCTTTTACAATCAATGAGTGTTTTCATCTCATCTTAATCTAACGCCGTTTGACTTCGTGCTAGCAATTACTTATACCTACCGCATAGTAAATTTATTATTCATATCAAGGCAGTATAAAACATTTTTGTTTAAGTAATATTAAAAATACAATACAAATACAATTAAGTATTTTAATTTATTTATTGCTTTTGTGTTTTATTTTTTATTTAACTGTCACTTGGACACTTGCAGATTCAGACTTCATAGTAGAGATATGCGAAACTCGGCACGTGTAAACCCCAGCGTCAAGGTAAGTAATTGTGTCGAATTTCAGCTCTTCTGAATCTTGTTTTCTACTGTTCTGTAAAATAATATTAAAAATAAGTTACTACCTTCTACGTAAAAGTGATTATTTCAGTCGAAAATCGAAATAAAATTAATAAGGCTCAGTTGCACCACCTAACTTTGACCGTAACTATAACGATAACCGGTGTTTTTTTGTATGGAATTTGATAGATTTTTGACGTCTGTCAAAGTGAAAGTAAGATGGTGCAATCCAGCCTAAATAATTTATTTTTTTGGAGTAGGACACATCCTTCTGGATAGAGACTTGTATGAGAGAGAGAGAGAGTTATAAAATAAGTGTCTTGAAATGGAATTAAATGATTATTCTAACTTTATTAAGCAGGTAGTTAGGTATAAAATAGGACACCCACCTTGTACCATCGAACTGAATCGACTAACGAGCGAGTAATAGGGCAGGTGACTACCGCTGCCTCACCGTTATTGAAATTGAACGTAGAGAATATCTTAGTTTCCCTTGGATATTCTGAAAAAGAAGACAATATTGTATACCTAAGTGCAAAGTCAATATAATACCTGCATTGATATAACTAGCTTTTACCCGCGACTTTGCTCAAGCTCGCACGCTCATCATTCATCATTTCAGCCGCAGGACGTCCACTGCTGAACATAGGCCTCACCTAATGATTTCCACATCGCACGGTTGATAGCGGCCATCCATCGCCTTCCTGCTACATTTATGAGGTCGTCAGTCCACGTTATGGGTGTCTCACGCTGCTTTTTTAGTTATGTGGCCTCCACTCCAGAACCTTGCCCCATCGGCCGTCAGTTCTGCGTACTATGTGCCTTGTCCATTGACACTTCAGCTTGCTAATCCGCCGGGCTATGTCAGCGACTTTAGTTCGGATTCGAATCTCCTGATTTCTTATTCAATCTCGTAAAGAAACACCGCACATCCCTTTCCATAGCACGTTGTGCATCTTTGAGCTTCTTTATGGGGCCTATAAGCCAATTTAGGCAATGTTATCGTTCTAAAAAAATACTAAAGTATTTACCGACGACATCATAAAGGTAGCAGGAAGGCGCTGGACGCAGGCCGCTACCAATGGCCAACATGGAAAGCATTGGGGGAGGCCTATGTTCAGCTGTGGACGTCCTATGGCTGAGATGATGATGATGATGATGATTTTTACCTACCTTCAAGGTCTACTTGAAATACCTTCTCATGAGGGGAGCTAAGCTCGTTGTCAGCCTTACAAACAAAACTACCCCTCTCTGAGATTCCGTTGATGATCAAAGCGCCATCTGTGTCCAGGGTGTAGGAATCGTAACCTGTAAATGGATAGAAACAGATGTACANAGAATCAGATGTACCTATATTGTAAATGCCCACAAAAACTGAAGAAACACAAAAGTCCGAGTGTCTGTGAAGTGACTGACGCCCGTATTCACAAACGTTGCTTGCTTAAGTGAAGCAGCAAATAAAACGCACAGCGTTGAATAGAGCTCTGTCCGTGGCTCTGTGGTTGGTTCGTGTGCGTCCACGCGCACTGTGAGACCTCATAGTGATGTTTGTGAATACGGGTGTGAGTTTCTTCCACCGCTTCTTCTTGGCACCAGCCAATATTGTCCTGAAGTGGTGATAGGGAAAGCTATATTTGGACGTTCAAAAGGGCCTACCTACATACTAATAAAGGACTTGAACTTGTAGAGCGAGCTATAAACCTAGGGACGGAGGCGTAGAGACGAATGTTCAATAGGAAAATAACTCGTTGCTCCGTCTCATTGGGCTCTGGCGCATACCGTCGGGTTTCGGGATTTATCCTCCACCCTTCTGGCAGAGACAACACCACATAATTCACTGGCCATCCTCGTTGGTGTGTAATATGCAGTTTATGAAGAAGAAAAACATACCTGTAGGGATTTCGTACCCATTTGTCGACCAGGTAATGATAGGCTTTGGTTTTCCTTCAGCCTGGCAGGGAATCCTCACTATGTCCCCTTTGACTGCTTTTATGGGCTTACTTAAGGCAGTAATTATGTAAGCTGGTTCTGAAACATAATTTTTATAACGGTATTATTTTAGTATCATCTACCTACTTAGATTTCATCATCATCATCATGTCAGCCACAGGACGTCCACTGCTTAACATAGGCCTCTCCCAATGACTTCCACATCGTCCGGTTGGTAGAGGCCTGCATATAGCGCCTTCCTGCTACTTTTATGAGGTCGTCGGTCTACCTAGTGAGTGACCTAAGTGGTAATGGTACTTTATTGATATTTAAAGCAAGATCTTACGTTTAACGTCGACTTCAAACAGCAACCTTTTTTCACTTTTTCCGTTGCTAGCTAAACAAATGTATTGTCCAGCTTGATTTGCCCTTATCCGTTTGAATACATATTCGTCAGGAGACTTCACAGTCCTGCAAAATGAAAAAAAAAGTATTATAGTTCGCGACTTTTAGGCGAAGTTGCACCATCTTACTTTAATTTTGACTAACGACAAAAATCTGACAAAGTCCATACAAAAAGCAGCGGTTATATAACAATGTTACGGTTAAAATAAGGTGGTGCAACTCAGCTTTAGTAATTTACGAGTATTCTTTTTTTTTAAGTGACAAGAGGCAAACGTGCAGACGGATCACCTGATGGTAAGTGATTACCGTCGCCCATAGACACCCGCAGTCCCAGGGGCGTTACAGGTTCGTTGCTGGCCTATAAGATGGTTCATACGCTCTCATTAGAGATAGGTTGCCATAAAACACGTTTTGTCTGTAATGCTAGTTGCGATCAGTCTACCATATTACCATCCCAGGAACATCTTCTTCCCAAAAACATGCTTAACTTCATACCTTAGGATAACTTCTTTCACTTTACTTCCTGGAGCCAGGTCCTCAGAGCTGATGAAGATCCAGGTAAGGGTAGGCTCAGGGTAACCGGTAGCTTCACAACGTATTTTTTCTTTCTCACCAACATACGTGTTAAGGGAAGTGTATTCAGGAATTACGAATTCTGGTTCCTCTATAAAAGTTCAAAATAATACACCTTGCTTGTTTTAACTCATAAAATCTCAATTTATTATTTGAAAAATTCTGATGAAAAGGCGAATAAAAATATTCATTCGTAAGAATTTGCGAACACCACTACCTATATAGTTCATTTTTTAAATCAAAATGTCAAAAGAGATATATGTTTATACAGGGTGTTAGGTAAATGGGTATATGAGCCGACACTAGCCCATGTTAACATGGTCATATAAATGGTTTGGTGAAGTCAGAAATTTGATATCATCATTTTTTTTTAATATTCATACAAAATAAATTTTATAAAATAATTAAAATGAAGATATCAATTTTCTGACTTCACTATACCATTTATATGACCATGTTAACATGGGCTAGTGTCGGCTCATATACCCATTTACCTAACACCCTGTATATGACCATTAAAAAACTTACCGTAATACTCAACTTTGATTTCAATTTCGGCTGTGCCATACTTATTTGTAGCTTTGCATTTAAATACCCCATTGTTTAACAGTGATGCGGAGAATCTGTAAGATTTTAACTTTCATAATCGTTTGTCAAGACAGGGCCGGTCATTGTGGAAATCCTTGGGGAAGGCCTTTGGCCATCAGTGGACGTCATTTGGCTGAAACGAACGAACATAGGTAGGTACATGAAAAAAATTTGAAACATTTGCTGACCTCAACATGTTATCCCGAAATATCTTATACTCTCCACCATCGATTAAGGGTGCACCATTTAAGCTCCACACTACTTCCGGTGTCGGAAAACCTTCAACTTTGCAGTTCAGACTTGTTTCATCGCCTTTCTTTGAGTTTACTGGTCCTTTTTCTTCTTCTATGGTTGGTGGGACTGAAAAGGGTAAAATTGGAGAACAAAAGTTTCTTTCTATATTATTAGACTATTGATACAGCTGTTCTATTTTCTAAATAGAGTAGCTCTGAAAGGACAGTCAAACATTTACCAAGACTAAAGCATAGTTTCAAGTGGTCGACTACCCATGGCTGTACTTATCTCTAATTCTTGTAAATATTAATTGCTATACTTTACCTACATTCAACAGTCAAGTACACGTGATGTTTGTCATCTCCAGCGACGTTGCTGGCAGTGCATACGTACTCTCCAGAATCATAACGAGAAACTTCGTCCAAATGAATTTTATTACTAGTCTCTTCCATTGCACCAAATACGTCGCCATCTGGTTTGAATGCCCAAGTGTATGTCGGTGGAGGTATACCTTTAATAATTCTAAGGAAATGTTTAATTTGAAATTTAATACTAATATGAGTAGCTTGCGAAAATAATGTAGGTTTTTAATGTGATTTACTTATTTCGAGTCAGAAAAGTAATAAATATCAAAAACAATATGATATGATTTATATTGTAGAGATATATCTTTTGGTTTTGTTATCATCATCATCATTGCCTATGATGATCATTGCATGCATCATCCTTTAATTTTTACCTGCATTCGATGTCCAGCGTAGATCCCTCTTCAATGTGTACGTCATTATTGATTTTCATTATTCGCGGTCTCTCTGTACAAAGAATAAAAGATCTATTATTAGGTCGCATAAATACACCTACTGATCAAGATTAGACTTTACCTGTTCCACTGATAGTGATTTCAAATTTAAAGTTCTCAAAGTGGTTCTTATTGTCCACTCTGCAGAAGTAAGCCCCTACTAGATCCGGCTGCATGTCCTTTATTACTAACGATGTACTATCCGACGAAATCTTATAGTGATCGTTTTCTTCAATTGGCCTTCCCTTGAACTTCCATTGAATCTTTGCTGGAGGATAGGCATCTACCTTACATAATACTTGCCCATCTTCTTTAAACTTGATAGCAGTATCTAAAATAACATTAAATTGTGCATGTAGAATTAGTTTATTCCCAACAAGATCAGCATTGTGAATTTGGAAGAGTCCTGTAGTCAAACAATCACCTTTATTTAACACTGTTTGGTACCATTCTTAAGCGTTCTTTATGTTGTAGACGGTAAGGTAATTGACTAGAGAAGAGTCCTACAACTATTACCTGAATATGCAAATAAAAAAAGATATTTTGTTTTTGCAGTTTTCAGAAAAGACAACTGCTTACCTTTAGGTGCCTCTTCTACATCAAAATAATCTTTAGGTATAGTCACAACTATCACAGAAGAGCTGTGCTCGCCAAATTCATTCTTAGCAATACATTTGTATGTCGCATTTTCATTTGCTCTGTCCATTTGCATTTCTTGTCCATAGTCAAATGGAGCTGGCACTTCAACTGGCTGAAGGAAAAAGGGTAATTTATAAAAAATGAATATCACTAGAGTTTTGTAGGAAACCACACTTTAGCGACCTCCTCCCTTCTGTTCTGGGTGAAAACCACATTTATGTGATCAAAAATATTATTAAGCGTTATAGGGGCGGATACTTTATAATGTAGTTAGAAATAATTTTGATGAAGACTTCTTTTATTTAATTTGGTACTAAGTTTAATATTTGAAGATATTACTTACAGNATCTTCTTCAAACTTGATAGCAGTATCTAAAATAACATTAAATTGTGCATGTAGAATTGGTTTATTCCCAACAAGATCAGCATTGTAAATTGGGAAGAGTCCTGTAGTCAAACAATCATCTTTATTTAACACTGTTTGGTACCATTCTTAAGCGTTCTTTATGTTGTAGACGGTAATTGACTAGAGAAGAGTCCTACAAAGCATGATCTGAATATGCTATTACAAAAAGATATTTTGTTTCTGCAGCTTTCAGAAAAGTTAACTGCTTACCTTTAGGTGCTTCTTCTACATCAAAATAATCTTTAGGTATAGTCACAACTATCACAGAAGAGCTGTGCTCGCCAAATTCATTCTTAGCAATACATTTGTATGTCGCATTTTCATTTGCTCTGTCCATTTGCGTTTCTTGTCCATAGTCAAATGGAGCTGGCACTTCAACTGGCTGAAGGAAAAGGGTAATTTATTAGAAATGAAACTGTCTGTCCTGGGTGAAAACCTACACTTTGAAAAGAAAACTGCCAGATGATAACCACATTTGTGTGATCAAAAATATTATTAAGCGTTATAGGTGCGGATACTTTATACCTACATATGTAGTTAGAAATAATGTTGATGAAGACTTCTTTTTTCATCCACAACGAAGGAAGCTCTTTCATTTAATTTTGTACTAAGTTTAATATTTAAAGATATTACTTACGGCAGATCTTATTCCCACTTCTGTTTTTTCATTTATCCAAGTAATATCAGGTTTCGGGTACCCTTCTACTTGACACCGCAAGAATAACGGCTTGTTATATTTCGCATTTACCTTTGGAGGTCCCATGATCGATGTGCTCGGTTCTAAAAATAGGTAATTTACCACAAATTGTGTAAAATAGGGATCCAAAATCGCCATTATAATCAACATACGTAGTAACACATTTATAGGTTTAAAACCGTTACAAGTTTAAAGCGCTATAAATCACCATCATGATACCACTGCTCTGATACTTTTCTACTTTCTGTACAAGAAATGGCATTATTTAAGTTTGTAATTTTATCAGCTCTATGACTGCCTAAAAAGTTATGTTAATCAAGTTAGGTTTAAAAGTTATTAATTCTTACTCACTAGTTCCTGTTAGAGATAGTTTGAATGACAAATCCTTTGATTCTAATCCATTAGTCGCTTTGCAGGAATAGCTTCCTATCAAATACGGCATCATTTTCTTGATAGTGAGAACTTCTGCGTCCGTTACGTCAAAAAACTCGTTAGTTTTTAGGATTTCTCCATTTCCATACCAAGTTATGGTAGCAGGTGGTAGTGCATCAACTTTACAATTAATTTTGGCACTATTCTTGTAGATTACATTAGTGTCTGTGAAAATAAACGGGAAACAAAATTTTGATGAATAAAGTTAATTGAGGTGATTCTCAAAATCGTTAAATGGTTGTTAATTTTAAGCCAAATAAAGCAGGTAAATCGGATAAAATATTATTTAAATTATGTAAGCGGTTTGTTGTAAGTGTTCCTTCTAGAAAACTTTATTCTATGTCTAAAAATGCATCATAGAACAAAATATTAATGAATAATATTGCAATGCAATTACCTACAGGTTCTTCCAATATATCCAGGTATTGAGTTCTCTCAGTTTCCACTTTTATTTTACGACTGATATCGCCTTCTGAGTTTTTAGCTGAACATTTATAGGTTTTAGTCATAGTAACTTTATCTATTTCTAATTCTGCCTTGTAGCTATATGGTAGCATAAAAGGTAATACCTAAAATATCAATAAATTGAAGAACTTTTTTGCAAATTATTTCTATGTTACAAGACCAAAATAATAAATCTCAACTTACTTCTGTAGGTAGTATAATACCATCTTCATCTTGCCATGTTATCTCTGGTTTGGGATATGCTTCGACAGTACATACTAGTTTTATAGCGTCGTTATATTTGACTTTTATTTCATTCCCTTTATCAATCTCCATGTCTGGAGACATACTTTTGGGTGATTCTGCAAAAATTATAATAATAATGTAATTAATATCAGAATTTTATTTATTTATTTTTTCACAACAACACTTCACTGTTTCAATTATAAATATTATACCAGTTAGCATAGTATCTAAGTGCTTTACATTAATTTATTTGAGAATGGTAGGTATTATATCAGTAGGTTTTTTCTATTTCTTTTGTAAATGATTGTAATCACCTAAATAAGATTTTTAGGAGGTAATTCTAAGTCAGGTACCTATTCCGATAATAACATACTTACCTGAAATCTTTTGTACTTCGATAAATGTATTACTTACTCGAGTAATATTGGTCTTACTTTCGTTATGATATCCAAACACCTGCAACATAAATGGAAGCAATAAACTTGAGCATTGAAATACAGCTTCAATACAGATCAGATCAGATCATACTCGTAAATGACAGCTTGACCAATTTTAAAGTGGCTTCTAGCCGTGTAACAATACAGATAGCGAAACGAACACAAACTCTAGCATTGATTTAGCCAGCGATTGATTATTATCAAATCCATTCACGGACGGGCTTCAATAAAATTCAATCTTGACTGTAGGTAGGTCTTTATTGTAATTAGGAATGCTACTCTATTAAGTTACTACATTTATTTTAATATCGCAAAAGAAAACAAGCTCTCAATTTTTGCTCTTTTGCGTGTAAAATAATTTTACACAAATTCGTAATACTTACACCGATTTTAAATAATCCTTTTTGAGGAACCATTTTGTCAGTGATATAAATATTTTCTTTCGCATTAATTAATTTTAACGGAAGATTTCCAATTGTCGCGCCTTCGTCATTGGTTAAAATTATTTGGCTGGGAACATATGCCTCTTCCGTGAAAATCTGCACGCTTATATGAGATTTTGCATCTAAAAACAAAATTTCATCATCATCATCATGATCATTATCATCATCATCATCAGGTTATTTAGTCTCCACTGCAGGAAAAAGGTTCTCTCTAATTTACCACAGGCAAATAGAGGGTTTACCCTTGGACATTACCTATACCTACTGCACATTTTAACAGTATTCCGTTTAGTACAAGGCCTAAGCTTCTTTCGTGGTAGGAAACAGTTGAATTAGAGATAACCTTTAGTGTCGTTGATAAAACGATTGCAATTAAAAACAATTCATTTGCAATTTTAGTGGGTACTCATTATCTACTAAACAAGGTTAGGTATTATACATCCGAATTTCATGTTTTTTAGCATGCTAATTGACGTCATTTAGCTGAAACAAACAAAGGCCTTCACTGCTGGACAAAGGACAAAAAAAATTTTTTTTTCGACTTGAAAATGCATTGAGTTGCATACCCAATGGCTCGGGGGGAGGGGGGGGGGGGATGGGTTATATGGGGCTCTCCCTGCTAGAAGAGCAGGGGGCCTACCCACTAAAAACCAGTCGGGTCCTTCTGGTCGCGCTTAGTAGGGCACACCGCTAGTCAAACGAAATGTTCAGGTGCGTGCCCCCACGCTACGGCCGCAGCCTCTCCCTTCAGGCGTCCTAATAGGACGCCCTCTCTCCAAACTTCGGGCCTCATCGTTAGAAGGCGGACACCTCCGCTCCGTGTCCACCTCCATGAGGTTAGCCGCCATGCCATTCTGTGGCACCTACTTAGGCTTTTGCGGCGGCTGGGGGCAGTATTTTGCCCCCAGAGTGTGTTCCGGCGCCCATCCCCACCCTAATCTACACTAATATTATAAAGAGGAAAACTTTGTTTGTTTGTTTGGTTGTAATGAATAGGCTCAAAAACTATTGGACCGTTTTTAAAAATTCTTTCACCATTCGAAAGCAACATTATCCACGAGTAACATAGGCTATATTTTATTATGGAAAAAATAGGGTTCCGTAAAATATTTGGGTTTTTCGGAGACCACGTGGGCGAAGCCGCTTGCGGAAAGCTAGTACTCAATAACATTATGGATTTATGAAATTATAACTCACCAGCTATTGGCAGAGTCACTGTATCCTCCATAGTGGTTGGCTCAACAGGAGAGAAGCCATATTTAAAATTTATTTTACTTGTGGCCGTGCATATAAATTTTGTGGCAGACTCACTTCCTACAGTTGCTGTATAGTTACCCGCCATACTGATGTTAAATACTTTTATTGACTGAAAAGACATTTTTTATAAAAAATTCTTCAATGTAGCAATCGAAAACAAAAGGATATTTAATAATAGTACAATATAGTACATAAGAAACATTATGAAACCTTAATATAATTAAGTATAATGTTATAAAATAATGTAACAATACTTACCGTGACGCTAGGGATATCAACAATTGTTTTTACTTCTGGCTTCGAGCCATCGGGCGCTGTAAGATCCGTAATTTCAGGATGAGTTCCAATGCTTGTAAGCCTTGAATCTTTCATGGCTGAATCGATGGGAATCTGTAATAAAAAAACGAATTTTTAGACGAAAAAAAGACTTCGTGAACTCACAGACTAAAGATTACAATAGAACTTACCGTTACATTGTGTCCATATCCCGGAGGTAATGATTTAGACAAAATTTCCGTTTGCCTGGATTTAACTGTATCTTCCATTAAATTTAAAATCTGGTAACAAAAGTATATTTTCATCAAAATTATTAAGACGAGACTAGCAACACAGTAAAGTTAAATATCAAATAACATTACAACATATGGCTGAAATGATGACGATGATGATGAATAAGACAAACTAAGCAAAAAAAAAATTAGTCCTTTCACTTACTCATGAATCGTGAAAACCCTATTCCCTATAATATCGTCTACGTACCTCTTTGATGTATTCTTTGTCCATATAAAACACTGCACCAGAAGTAGCATTTGCCAGTTTATGATATTCATTAAATGTCTTGCTTCTTCTACCGCATTTGTTATGAGTTAAAATAAACACCACCTAAAACATAAGATTCAAAAGTTAGAACTCAGTAACATCTTTATTCTTCTTTTGTATATCTTTCATTGTGTAACTCATTATTCTGATGGTGATGGTGATGAAGCCATAGCTATAGGTTTCTAGCATGACTCAATCATACCCACAGCACAACGTTCCCTCTGAAGTACCGAATCTGAATCATACTTCTTTTAGGTTATGACATGTATAATTTATTAAATATCTCTTAAATAAATAATATTTATTTATTTCTATCTTTGAAGAAATATGATTCGATGCTTCACAGGTACGGTATAATATTATACCATTAATGTCCAAAAATCTCTAAATATCTGAATTTAACCGTGTTCATACTTTCTGAATCAAAATAATGTATAATTATATAAAAACCACTGAAATGCATCTGGTAAACCATTGTTTGTTGATTAATAAGATCAAGTTGAGAAGATCTATTGACTTATCTATTAATGATAACGTCAATAAATATAGTATACCTAATAAATAAGTATTTTTTGTCAATTGCTTAAGAATACTGATAAATACCTGAGTATATTTCTTTATAGCAAGACTTTGCACATCATCCAACAAGTCGTGGTCTTTGGCCTCATCATCAGTGAACACATACAAAAACGATCCAGGCAGACCTTCTTTTAGACCAAGCTTTATTCCCGACATAGAACTCTCTGGACAATCATCACCTCCATCCGCAATGATTCCTGAGAGTTTTGCTTTGAATATAAATGGATCTTTTGTTCTAGTTAACATATCTACCTGAGTCGCTAAAATGTGTAACACAATTAGATTTGTTGAATATTTTATTATTCTATAAAATTTGTAACTTTATTTTACTTACGTAAGTCGTTAAACGCTATTAATATAACGTCTTCTACCGGAGACTCCACTGAATTAGTTACAGCATTGAATATAAGTTCCACACCATACTTCACTTGATCAATATCACGTTGCATAGATTGAGTATTATCAATCACGAACGTCAGACTACCCTTTTCCATTTCTCCTGTTGTCAAGGGTATGAACACTAGCACAAAATAAAATAAATTATTTAGAGTCATTATTACACTACTTTTCTGATACATTACAATGCTGGGCCTCAAACACAACTGAAGTGAGCATTTTAATTTAAAACAGGAAATCTCTTACAATGACCTCAAGATAATAATTGCCGATATTGTAAATATGGCAAAACCATAACTAAATTGAAATAATTAAATAAGCACGCTGTTAGTGATTAATAGTAAAATATCAGCATCTCGAAGTTATCCAGCAAAAATTCAGTTAGGTAATTGATTTACGCCCGTATTCACAAACGATGCTTGCTTAAGTGAACGCACAGGGTTGAATAGAGCTCTGTGATTGGTTTATAATTATGTCACCCTGTGCGTCCACGCCTACTGTGAGACCTCATAGTAATGTTTGTGAATGCGGGCGTTAGGTTCGGTTCGGTCGTTCGTTTCAACCAATGCTGCTACTGGACAAATGCCTCACGGATTTCGGCGCTGCCCGCATCCAAGTGCTTCCCATGAGCTTCACCTTGATTCATCATCATCATCATCATCATTTCAGCCACAGAACGTCCACTGCTGAACATAGGCCTCCCCCAATGCTTTCCACGTTGATCGATTGGTAGCGGCCTGCGTCCAGCGCTTCCCTGCTACCTTTACGATGCCGTCGGTCCACCTTGTAGGTGGACGTCTCACGCTGCGTTTTCCGGTATGCGGTCACCTTGATTAGGTACTATAAAATAATTCAACGCAAGATCTATTTAAAAGGTATTTATTTTTAAATAACCATTACATTAAAAAATAATAATTAATATGAATATTCTCCCCACATGGCGGATTCCTTAAGGACCTTGTGGTTGCCAGTGCCGAAAAGGCCTTTGAAGCCAAAAGTGGTTTCGAAGTCTGGTAGACTGCAGCAGACGGTGTATCCCTTGGCAGGGTCTCTCCAGACGTTCCCGCTCATCCACTCTATGTCCGGGCAGATGTCCTTGCAAGGCATGTGGGAATATGCCTTGGATACCGTCAAGTCCGGGATGTTAAGCTGGATCACAGCTAGCGATGTTCTTGCATCTTGATTTTGGATTACCTATGAAAAGATAAACATGTGCATTCTTTGCCATTCTTACAAATTTTTATTTAAATCAACTAAATATTGAATTAAGTCAACAAAGAGACGTCTCAGGATCGAGCCGTCTGGAGACGCATGATGAATGGGAAGAAATGGGAATGGGCCAGGCAAAGAAGAACAAAATAAATGTAGTTATTAAGAAAAATATTAAGTCTTCAATATTGTTGTGAAATTGATGATAAGACACTTCTTTCATAAAGTGAAAATAACGATAGCTTGATGATTAAATAACATTCAAGCTTCTAACGATTAAAATAATTAATTCTTCAGTTGGAAACTTAGACAATTAAGTATTTATAAATGTTTGAACCATATAATATTATCTAGTTTCCCAGAGGCATGGAATATCCAGACACGTCATATGCCTACTTATCAACCCACGATACGTTATGACGAATCTCTATGTTTATTTGACCCAACACTTCTGAGGGTTGGTATTCCCAAAGATAACAGAACGCAAGCATTTTAATCTTTCTACTATTATTATACAAGTTTACCAACTGACTAACTAAATTAAAGGCTGAAACTAAACAGTTTTTTTATCTTGCTGTTATTAGGTATTCGTCTACAAATTTTTCCAAATAAGACGGTTGTTTACTGTTAGTAACTCGGGCCTATGTGATGCTAGAACTTGTCTTATCAAAACGTTAAAGGTTATTTCTGAAGAGACGGTTACAAACTAAGTCTAATAACAAACACGAAGCCGACCGAGCGAGGTGATTATTTATTTGATTTCTGTTTTCCTAAAGAGGGTTAAAAATAATGGAAATCACATTATTATAAACTGGTAAACTGGTCGAGAATGCTTTAGTGCATTATGTACAAATTTATTTTGGCATAAAAGTTTAAATAAATAAATAAATAAATATTATCTTTGTATCATCATCATTTCAGCCACAGGACATCCACTGCTTAAAACAGAACAAACTAGCTTTTAACTGAACCATAGAAGAAAATTTAACAATAATTTTGTAAAAAATACGCGTACGTTGTTGACTTCCATGGGACCATGGTTCTTCTATCCATAGAAGGGTCTTTATATAAAGTGCATATTTTGGTCGGTTTTAGAAAGAACTCTACTAAATTAATAATGAGTTTGCATGAGTCCGACTAACTCACCTTCCACAAATACTTTGGCACAGGTATCTGGCCTGTGCGAGTATCGCGAAGAATTATGTTTTCAGGGTCCTTCAGGGCATTATTCAGGGTAAGCTGCCCAGAAGTGCCTGTCCATACCATCATGTTGTCGTATGAAGACTTGGCCAAATCCCTCACCCGTCGTTCTAGTTCATCCCAGTTCTAAAAAATTAAATTACGTACAAATACTGTTCCCAACAAAATTTACAATTAAAAAGTNTAAAAATTAAAAACCCGACCTCTCTATTAATAAAGGCTGTGGTTTTGTAATACAACACCCATCTCAGGGGTAATTACAAGAAAAATATAAATAAAGATTTTACTATTACTTTATTAGTAAAAAACCTTGTTTAAACTTTTCCTAAGACGTTCGAGATGGTGCTTGTTACCGCCCGCACCAACCCCGCGTACCCCGCTACACCACCGAGCACATGCGGCCGCGCCCCGGGAGAGCGGGGGGACTGACCGATAGCTGTCGCCCTTGTAATAATACCATTTTCCTGATTTCATAGATTTTTCCATGAAAATTTAATGTATTTTTTTTGGCATCAGTGTCGTGTATGTATACTACCACCCCTGAGATGGCCGTTGTTTTACAAAACCACACCCTGTATAAATCGACATTCATACCTTTGTATTACAAGTACTCCAATGCGGGACAACGTTTAGATAAGTCAATGCAGCTTTTTGGGGCAATCCCCCGGAGAGATCACGGGAATTCACCAGCTGTCTTCTATCGAAGCAACACCTATCTGTTTCGTGGAACCATCTTCGAAGAAGAGACGATACAGCATTGATCTGAGTATCACACCAATACAATTCATCGAATTCCAATGGGAACGAATCGCTTTCCCACATGGGACCTTTCAATTCCTTATCAGCTAGTGATCTTTGGATTCTCTGCTTAGCATACACTGGTACATTATAATCCTTGTCAATACAAACTTCGTATACTTCTTGGAAATCATCCGGAAATTCGTAACCTATTTTGATCACTTCAGAATTGCCAGAGTTGCAACGTCTTCCAGTATTTCTTATTTTGGGCTGGATTTCTTCCTGGCAATTTAAATCTGTATATTCATATAGGTGTCCATTGACCAGGAAATTAGTCTCTCGTTCACAAATGACTGATATTTTTTTCTCAGGAATAATTTCAAAACCACTAGGGCAATATAATGACAAACGCTTTTTGGATGGAATGCGCAGTACTCCATTGTTGTTTTCGAATTCAGCTAGTTTCATGGTATCTTCATCAATCATGAGTGGTTGTTTATTTAATAAGTCGTCTTGAATGCTTAATAAACAATCTAAAATTTAAAGCACATCATTAAAAATCGTATTTTTTGCAATGTTATGATGAAGCAATAAAGTAAAATGCAACGCACCTTTTGAAAATACTTCAAACGTCCGATTTATGCTCCCAAAGTGGTTGGATACGACACACGTGTATTCCCCTCTTTTATCGAATGTCATCACTAAATTGTATCTATCCATCGACAACACTATTTCCAATGAATTATTGTTTTCGATATCTTCGCCATCAAATAGCCATGTTACCTAAAAATGTATAGACACGTTATAAATCCACGACTATAAAGCCTTGATCACACGTACCGAGTAAACGGGCGAGACAGTAGGGTGAGCGAGTCACATACTCGAGCGCTCGGCCGAGCACTCGGCGTAATGTTCTCTCGCACCGAGTACTCGGCCGAGAGCACTGTCTCGCCCGTTTACTTGGTACGTGTGATCAAGGCTTTAGGTGTAGTCACAGACTACTAATAAGTTACTACGTCTAACGTTTAACTCAGTCAGTGCCTTATACAGGGTGGAATTTTGTAATGCCACCTGGAGGTAAAGTACTCTTAATACTGTAGATAGAAAATTTTACTGAAAGAAAACATTCCTTTATTTTTGAAAAGAAAGAGAACTGCATTCAAGGATTTTCGAATTTTTTTCGAAAATTCTCTACCATACCATACAATTTCCTGTACCCAATTAAAATAATTTAAGATTTCATGGTTAAATTCCTTTAATTTGATTTATCAAGTTTGTTAGAGAGATTTCATCCTTTTACTTAACCCTAACGATCGATGCAATAAAAATACAGGGTGTAATTTTAACAGATTTTAGTTATGTTCGAATGCCGGGTGTGGCAAGCAAATTTTTGGAAATCTTTGAATGCAGTTTTATTTCTTTTCAAAAATAAAGGAATGTTTTCTTTGAGAAAAAAATTCTATCTACAATATTAAGAGTACCTTCCCTCCTGGTGGCATTACAAAATTCCACCCTGTATATGGGAGGGGCGTGGGAGGGGTGACATTGACATAATATGACGTGACAGAGCATAGTCTCGCTGACGTATCAAATACACCATCTTGTGCCGCTCCCACACCTCAGACACAATACATACTGAGTTAATAAGCACTAGACCTTTTAAAACAATATTTTTCATTTCGTAACATACAAACAAATACCTGTGGCTCAGGCTCTCCCCTGGCTTCGCAGTTTAATACGGCTGGCATTCCCTCACTAAAATTGATAACTGTTTCCACTTCCGATTCAAACACTGGTTTGTATCCAACAACAACCCTTATGCTTTCAGAATCAGCGCCATTAAAATTACTGACACGGCATGTATAAATGCCTGCATCAGTTACTTTGATATCCTCCAGTTTTCTCGTCTCACCCAAACCTATTGGTCTTCTGTCCTGAAGTATTATAATTTAACCATAAATAACTTGAATTATCAATAATAACAAAAGTGATTAACTATTTGCTTTCAAACCTTGAACCAACGAACTGTGTCTATTATTGTATGAGGGATATCACATTCTATTTCATCCGACTCCCCTTCTTCTAAAGAAATAGTTTTGGATGGAGTTTTTTCATCAGGATAATCTGAAACATAAAAAAGTCTTATAAAATTTGTGTACTTGTGAATGGAGTTATTTGAAATACTTAAGAATAGTAACATGGAAGACATACCTTTTATATTGACGTATAACGCTTGAATAGCAGAGCCTAAGGAATTCTGGGCAGTGCAAACATAGGTGCCAGCAGACTTCCTATCCAGATTCTTTATGACCAATGTTCCATCTTCCTCTATGTCGTACCATTCTGAACCTGCAACCATATAAGATAAGAGATCATGATTATTCAGTGTCTTTGATTCACTATGATCACAAACAACATTCGTGAAACGGTTGAGGTCATATTGTAAAATTCAGTCATCTACCATATAAGATAAGAGATCATGATTATTCAGTGTCTTTGATTCACTATGATCACAAACAACATTCGTGAAACGGTTGAGGTCATATTGTAAAATTCAGTCATCTACCATTTTGTTTTACGATTGAGAAAAAGTAGAAAATAATAAAGTTCTTATTTAAACTCTGGATCCACTTTTGAAAGATTAATTTGTAACTCACGATCAATGTTCCCAAGAGACAGGATTAGCTAGTTTGGGAACTACCAGTAATCTTAGATTGTTTTTTTTTATGCATAACAAGGCAGGTATTTGACAATCGCACCTGATGTTAAGCGGGATGCAGTCTAGGATGGTATAAAGGGTGGAATATTGTAATGCCACCTGAAGGGAAAGTACTCTTAATACTGTAGATAGAAAATTTTACTCAAAGAAAACATTCCTTTATTTTTGATCAGAAATAGAACTGCATTCAAAGATTTTCAAAAATTTGCTTGCTACAGTCGGGAATCGAACCAACTAAAATGTGTTCAAAATTACACGATGTATTTTTATTGCATCGATCGTTAGGGTTATGTATATGGATGAAATCTCTCAAACAAACTTGATAAATTAAATGAAAGGAAAACCATGAAATCTTAAATTATTGTAATTATTTACAGAAAATTGTATGGTATGGTGGTAAATTTTCGAAAAATGTTCGAAAATCCTTGAATGCAGTTCTCTTTATTTTTAAAAATAAAGGAATGTTTTCTTTGAGTAAAATTTTCTCTCTTCAGTATTAAGGGTACTTTCCCTCCAGGTGGCATTACAAAATTCCACCCTGTATATCTGCCTTGTGAGTGCCTATTCACGCTCGCCTTGAAAAGGCCCAAAATTATATTTACAAAAAGACTTAATCTTTTTTATTTCTTCATACCTGAGGCAACGTTGAGTCCCCCTCTGGACCATGTGACCTCGGGCTTGGGGTACCCTGAAGCTTTACAGGGCAGCCTCATTATCAAATCATCAACAACTCCTGTAAACGTGTTCGTTGCTGCTCTTTCAATTCTGGGTGGTACTGCAAAAACCATCGATCAGTTATTACTTATACTTACTTTAAACTTCTTCTACTGATTATGTAAACAGCTGCCAAATTAGGAGCGATTCAGAATCAGTAATGTAATCGATTTACGTAAAGAAAACAAAAAAAAACATCATATTTCATTATTTTTTCCGCTGCGCGGGTTATTTTTCGAAAAATACCCCGATTAATAATTAGGATAAAGTTATTTGGCAACTGTTTGCAAAATCACCCTGTATGTGTTTTAGTGTATGAGAAAACACAATCACTACGTACCCATCACTTTGACTTGGTACGTGAAATTGGCTGAACTCTCCACGTTTCTTGCTATACAAGTATAGTATCCATCATTGGTCGACCTTATGTTCCTAAGATCTATTATTTGACCTGACGAGTCAGTCGGCCTGCAATGATGTATACAAGCTCATAACTTAAAGTACCACAAAGATTCACGTAATAATTTCCATGCCAGCATGCAAATTTTTGTAAAATAATATTAAGCCTACTTTTAGAAATGCAAAAAGAAAAACCAAACCTAAAGAGGATTTAGGACGCTATTTGGATCAAATATGTAATTGCTCAATAATGAATAATAAATAAAATAAAATAAATAAATAAATAATGCTTTCTGACCAATGGAGAGATATTAGTCCATGCCATTGCCTATTTCTTTAAAGTTTTACAGAAATATATTTAAAACAACAGCTATGAAAATAAATTTTATATTTACATCATTTTCTTAGGCTCTGGCTCCTTGTCAACTGAATTGAAGAACAGCCACGTCAACTTCGGTTGTGGGTAACCGCTGGCTCTACACGGTAACTGAAGGTTATCACCTTGTCTCACCTCAAATGTACTCTCTTCTGGAGAATAAATGCTCACTGGGACTAAAAGCAAGAATTTTTTTTAAATGGTCCAAATACCAACAATTTAACCCGTTCGAACTAACTGCGTACCCCGTCTGTACCAGAGCGTCAGTGTGACGTCACGGCTAGGTACGCAGTTAATTCGATTGGTTTGTAAGAAAAAAATACTAATCGAATCTATTCATAAATCTCACCTAAATAATCGACGGTTATGCTTTTATTATTTGATCCTAAGTGGTTTTTTGCCGCACAAGTAAAGCGTCCTACATTATCTTTTGAACCTGTAAACCTAAAAAAATAATAATTATAATTAAAATTCTCTGGCGTTAAGAGTCACCTATCTACATTATAAGTAACCAGAAAAAATCGAACTGCCTAAGGCATGAATGGAACCAACGACCTTTCGCTTGCCGGGAGACTGATTCCATTCACTATTTAACGTGTTTTAACTGAAATACATACTTTAAGCTGTTATCTCTGTAGATGTGATGGTTCCTATCGCTGATAATCTTCACTCCATTCAGGAACCACTCCACGCGAGGCTCCGGAGCTCCTTTGGCGTGACATTTGAGTGTGGTTTTTGCACCTTCTCTCGCTCTGACATACGTTTTATCGACGCTAACAGTTGGCGGATCTGAAATGGATACATATTTGGTTTCACTTTTAATTGGCAAAGGGCTAGTTTCACCCATTCTTCATAAAAGTCATCTGAAAAAATATTTATCTAACAAATTGTTTACCAGTAAAAATCTGTTAAAGATCCGAAACCAAGAATATTTCAAAGATTCATAGGTTCGCTATCAGAGACTTTTTCAACAAGTAGTGAAATTGACCCTAAATATTTTTATAGAGTCAAGAAAATTACGCCTAAAAGATCATGCAGAACTGAAAAAAAAATCAAGCAAAAATAGTTCCAAAGAGCCTAGTTATAAAGCTGATACAACTAATTTACTTACACTCAACGGTAAGTTCTATTAGATGGTGATCACGACCGGCGTCATTGGTGGCTATGCACCGATAGAACCCAGCATTTTCTTCATTAACGTTGGGTAGTTTAATAACTTCACCAGTATCATTTAATTTATCAAAATATTGCGTGTACAGAGAAAGATGAAACCAGGTTATCTGTGGTGCTGGTTCTCCTTCCAGGATTCTAAAATATTATGACTCTTTAAGTTTATTGCATTATTATAATTAAAATTTCTATAAATTTTAAACAGGAAAATGTTAACCTGCATCTGATTTCCGCATCTTCTCCTATTCCACTGCTCGTTTCAAATGCCACCTTTTCAATTTTGGGACGATCTAAATACAAATTAATATTATTAGTAGGTACTATTATTAGTACTATTACCGTCAAGGCAAAATAGACTATTTCCAAAAAGGTCTTACCAAATCCAGAAATGTTGATGTTAAAAATGAATTCTTCGTCATGGATACCAGACTTAGCTTTACAAGCAAACGTTCCACTTAGATGCTTTCTCATGTCCTTGATAGTTAGAACAGAACCATCAGGTGATATGTCGATGTACCCATCAGGTATTATTTCCTTGCCTTTGTGAAGCCATTTAATTTCGGCTGGCGGTTCGGCATTTATTTTACACGTTACTTGTCCCGTGTTTCTATACTTTATTGTAGTGTCTAAAATGTTAAAATTCACAGTCAAGATTCCAGTCAGAAATTATTGCAAGAATTTTGAGACGGTTATTTATTACCTTTAGGTGATTCAATAACTTCAAACACATCTTTCTTGATTGTCTTAACTTCTACTGTTTGTGAAGCTTCTCCATGCATATTAACAGCTTTGCATGTGTAAGAATCATTACTTCTCACTGTATCTATCGCCAATATGTTAATGAAATCATACGGCACTTCTAATATTGTGTACTGAAAAGCAAGGATAATAATTAAATCACCACAAAAAGTGAAATAAAGTGATAATAATAAATATTCGCTACTTACATCTGACGTCAATACTGATCCATCACTATGGGACCAAACTGCATCAGGTTTAGGGAATCCATTTATTTTGCATGATATTTTCAATGGTTGATTATATTCTGCATTGATAATGAGGCCTCCTTCGATTTTTACTGTAGGCGCCCTATCTTCAGGTCTCACTACAAAAATTTAACCAATTTAAATTTTTCCAAATAATTGACATAGTTTTAACCTGTTAACCATTTGCTGAAACTCATAAGTACTTAATTAGGGTCTCGCAAAAGCAAGCTTAGCAGGTAATGTGGAACCACTTAATTTATAAACGGACATTGCAAACGAAGAATTATTTAGGATAGTAATTTTACCTAAAATAGGGTTTTGCGGTTCTATTGGCGTAGGACTTGTTCTTTTAAATGGAGCTTTACTTTTCGTGTCGTAACCTTTGACCTGGAAATATTCAAGTCTATTATATTTATAAGATTTTTCACTAAATACAATCAAAGTTTTAAAAGTTTTCTTACCGTTATTTTGAAGGTGGTGTTAGGGGGTACAAATAGATTGGTGGTATAGAATTTTTGCTTTTCATCAATTAACATAAGTGGCATTTCGACAATATCATGCTCTTCGAGGTCTGACAACACAACTGTGTTTAGAACTGCACCATCATCATCGGTTATCAATTTTATTGATAAATGGGACTCTTTATCTGAAAATAATTAATTTCTATGACCATGACATTCTAAGTTACTTCAATTCTCCTTACAATTAGACAGATTAAAACGTTAGACAGTTTGTTTGTTTGTTTGGTTGTAAATGTTGTAATGAATAGGCTCAAAAACAACTGGACCGTTTTTGAAAAATCTTTCATCAAATTTTATTTTGTAAAAAAAATAGGCGGATCCACTATAGGCTATAATAATGTAGTCCACGCAGGCGAAGCCGCGGGCGGAAAGCTAGTTTTTAATATAATGAATATTTAACGGATGAATCAAAAGGTCTGATCTCCTGTTAGCTATCTTTCTTTACATTACAAAATTAGAATTGTTTTGTGCACTACAAATCACTAAAGATCATTTATCTAAAGGAACAGACACAAGTTCTATTGTTATTGAAACAAATTGTTTTGGATATACTCGTACGCTGTTTATAAAATTAATAGAATCATCATCATAAGACGTTCACTGCTGAATATAGTCTTCCCCCAATGATGTACATAGTGACCGGTTGGTAGCATATTAGTATGTAGTTAGTAGTACATTCCTGATTAATAGAATAATATTCAATCTTATCAGAAATAGCAGTTATACCTGGTAACGGCTGGATAGCAGTGCCTTCGATGGAGGAAGGCTCGGCAAGAGAGAACCCGTGCTTGAATTGGATGGTGGTGGTGGCAGTGATCACCACACTGGTCTCCGACTTACTGCCCACCTTGGCTGTGTAGTTGCCGGGCGTGGTGTCTTTTATTTTCACTGACTGAAGGGTAAATATTATCATCATTTATCATCTCAGCCATAGCCGGCCACTGCTGGACATAGGCCTCCCCCAATGATTTCCATAATGCCTGGTTGGTAGCGGCCTGCATCCAGCGCCTTCCTGCTACATTTATGAGGTCATCAGATTTATAAATACATATAACTACGGTGATAACGATTTAAAGTGAAAGAAGATTTCAGCCAACCTTATGATAGAATACTTCTTGTGATAAGGTACCTAAATTTTATTAAGATGTCATTGTTATTAATTTTTCATTCGATCAAATAAATTATTGCCTTCAAGCCGAGTACTTAACGTGATTAAAATGAGTACTTACAATAACTTCTGGTATATCTACAAGTTTCTCTGTATGGGGCTTACTGCCGTCAGGGGCGGTTATGTCAATTTTAGGTTCTGTTCCCGACCCAGCGATCACCACATCTTTCATATCAGCATCAACTGGAATCTGTAAAGTTGTGATTGGTTTATTTACAAATGATTCATCATCATCATCATCAACATTTCAGCCATAGTACGTCCATTGCAGGATATTACGCCTCCCCAATGATTTCCACAATGACCGGTTGGTAGCGGCCTGCATCCAGCGCCTTCCTGCTACCTTTATGAGGTCGTCGGTCCACCTAGTGGGTGGACGTCCTACGCTGCGCTTTCCGGTACGTGTCCTCCACCCCACATATTCTTATTTCTAAGTAATGGAAGATTTGGCCTGCACTTTCCACGTTGCCCAAACGGGTTGCGGAGTCTTATTAGTATTTTCTCCCTTAGTCGCCTGATACGACGTCCATCGGGATAGTTTAAACCAAATCATTCATTTCCTCTGCTAAATTATAGAGGAGGAGGGGAGGGAGTTAAAATTTTACTCTATCAGTCATAATTCAGTCTAAAAACCATAGCACAGATGAAACTTTTGACACAGTCACGAAATCGCGATGCTGCATCGATAGAGTCACTAAAATACGCGATACTGATACATGAGATGAAATTGTGATACTGCATCGTCAATCGCCGATGCTAAAAGTAGCATTTGTGCTGGTGCCTAAAAGTCGTTTATTTTCTGCAAATTGACTTTTGGAAAGCGCTTTTACGCGTCTGATGCTGAATTGATACATTTACACAACAATATTAACAGCATTGTTGTGTTCCGGCAGTTAGAGGTAAGGTAACCAGTTCCACCGTGGTTGAGGATTCTGGGTGAAGCTCGCTTCCACCTTCGACCTGATCGTCACTTACCATCAGGTGAGATACAGGCCAAGAGCTAACTCGTTGTGAATAAAAAAAATATTACCTAAACGAGGACTTAGCATGTTATTAATCTAAAACTTACTGTCAAATCGTGATCGTAGCCTGGAGGGAATGTCGTTTTGGTGACTACTGTTTTTCGACTAGATACTGTCTCCGCTACGTAGGCCAAAATCTGGAAAATATTTCAAAACAAAACTTAAGCTCTTTAGTTAAAAACGTATTGAGGGATCACAAAATTTTCATGCAAAATATCTAATAACCTTCATTTTAACAGGTAGTGACGATTTATGGTGCTGGCGTGCTGTAGTGTGGCATTATAATTATTAGCTACACATTTCAATATTTTAATTAAGGTCTGTATGTGTAATTCTCAAATATTACTTAAACATAAGGTTGAAAGTATAAGTAACTCATTAGTAGTCTACGTTTATTTTCAAGTATTACAACCTTTCCAACATTGTCCTTGGTCATGTGAAAGACTTGTCCATTAGTAGCATCAGATAGCTTGTGGTACGCTTGGTACCCCGGGTCGTCGTCGCTACCGCATCTACCAGTTAAAAGGAATACCACCTGCAATGTAATAAAAGTGACTTTTTAATATGTACGTACCTAACTTTGGGTTAAAAACTAAGGGACAAAACTTGCAATCCGATCGAGTTAACTGCGCTCCCAGGTGTCTTGGCTCACTTTTAGCTTGGTCCACGTCGGGCCAAAAGTGGACCAAGTCGCTGGAAAACTCGCATTTGGCAACCGTGACGTCACATCGATGGTACGCACGGAGCGAACACGGGGAGGTGGTGTACGGATAAGTACCAGGGAGAGTTCACTGAAAAAAATGTTTGGTTACTGCTTACACAACAAAAGTGACCACGGAACACCTGGTTATGAGGAACAAAATGTTGTGTAAATTAAACAAATAATTCTGTAGTGAGCTAGACTTAGTTTGGTTATAGTTAACACTTAGTTCGGTGGTCACTTTTGTTGTGTAAGCAGTAACCAAACATTTTTTCAGTGTTATTTATTTATTTATTTTTATGTTAAGTAAGCACAGTTGACAACACATCAAACCATAAATACCTTCATAGTTGTTGCAAAATAGCCTGTATTACAATGACATAAGACACCACTGTGTTTAGCTTGATGTCCTGTCGTCTGTACACAACCATCATGATTTGGTCAAACAAAACTTGAATTACCTGAGCGAATTTCTTGCTAGCCAAGTTCTTGACCCTGTCAAGCAAGTCTAAATCCTTGGCAGATGCGTCAGTAAGCACATACAGGTTGGAGCCGGGAAGACTCTGTGTGAGCGCCAGTTCGATGCCCGCCATGGACAATTCAGGGCAATCGCCACCACCGTTCACGTATATGGACTCGAGAGCCTTTTTAAATTCTTCTTCATTTTTTGTCACAGTTCGAAGCTGCGTACCTAAAATGTATCATTATTAGTAAGTTGTCATGCACTATAACCTCGTTTTTTTCATGTAGGACTGTAGGTACAGTCTGAGCTAATAGAAAATCNTTTAATACGATCGAAAGGTTGAAAGTATAAGTAACTTATTAGTAGTCTACGTTTATTTTCAAGTATTACAACCTTTCCAACATTGTCCTTGGTCATGTGAAAGACTTGTCCGTTAGTAGCATCAGATAGTTTGTGGTACGCTTGGTACCCCGGGTCGTCGTCACTACCGCATCTACCAGTTAAAAGGAATACCACCTGCAATGTAATAAAAGCGACTTTTTAATATGACTTTTTAATATGTACGTAACTTTGTCTTAACTACTTATGCAGGTTAAAATTAAAAACTAAGGGACAAAACTTGCATTGCAAGATTGCAACCCGATCGAGTTAACTGCGCACCTGGGAGTCTTCCTGCAACTTGGCTCACTTTTAGCTTGGTCCACGTCGGGCCAAAAGTGGGCCAAGTCGCTGGAAAACTCGCATTTGGCAGCCGTGACGTCACATCGACGCTCTGGTACGCACGGAGCAAACACGGGGACGTGTACGGGTAAGTGCCAGGGAGAGTTGCATTCCAGCGAGGTACGCAGCTAGCTCGATCGGGTTGTAAGACGTAATTATTTTTATGTTAAGTAAGCACAGTTGACAGCAAATCTGACTTTACCGTCAGTAGAAAGGAAAAAATGCTAAAGCGTCATATGGGCCAAATGGCGCTTTAGCATTTTTTCCCTTCCACTGACATATTATTTGTTGCAAAATAGCCTGTATTACTACGAGATAAGACGACGTTGAACTTGATGTGCTGTCGTCCGTACACAACCATCATTAATAGTCAAGGCAAAATTAATGATAATAATATGTTGTGACCCATATAATTCATCATCATCATCATTATTTCAGCCATAGGACGTTCACTGCTGAACTCAGGCCTCCCCCAATATTTTCCATGTTGATCAATTGGTGGTCTGCGTCCAGCGCTTCCCTGCTACCTTTATGATGTGATCGGTCCACCCACAGGACGTCCTACGCTACGTTTTCCGGTACGCAGCCTCCATTCCAGAACCTTGCTGCCCCATCGGCCGTCAGTTCTGCGTACTATGTGCCCTGCCCATTGCCACTTCAGCTTGCTAATCGGTCGGGCTATGTCAGCGACTTTAGTTCGTTTACGGATCTCCTCATTTCTGATAATTAAAGTTATTGAATTACCTGAGCGAATTTCTTGCTAGCCAAGTTCTTGACCTTGTCAAGCAAGTCTAGATCCTTGGCAGATGCGTCAGTAAGCACATACAGGTTGGAACCTGGAAGACTCTGAGTGAGCGCCAGTTCGATGCCCGCCATGGACAATTCAGGGCAATCGCCACCACCGTTCACGTATATGGACTCGAGAGCCCTTTTAAATTCATCTTCATTTTTTGTCACAGTTCGAAGCTGCGTACCTAAAATGCATCATAGTAAGTTGTCATGCACTATAACCTTGTTTTTTTCATGTAGGACTGTAGGTACAGTCTGAGCTAATAGAAAATCGATTTTTTTCAAATATCTTTGGAATATTAGAATGACTTTATATCCTAGATATTAGGATAGGTACACAAATCACTATTAAACATAGCTTCAGGTCGGAGTCAATGTTATTCGGGTTTATTAGTTAAAAATAATATATTTGTTTCTAATAACCTTAAATCTGACTACAAACCTGCCTATAATTTAATCAGAGCTAAGAAAAACAATGTTAGTATAAGATAAAAAGATGATGAAAGTAAAAACTCACCAGGGTCGTTGAACGTAACCAATATGAAATTGTCTATCTGTGAACGATTCGAACTTAACACCGTATCGAATACAAGCTTGACTCCATGTTTCACTTGCTCTATGTCATTGGACATAGACCCTGTATCGTCTATCACGAACGTAAGACTGCTTTTTTCTTTTTGTCCTACTGTTAATTGAATTATTAACAATAAAAAATAATATCCTCTAAAGTAATTCATTATTAAATATTACAGTTGGGACCGTATCATCGCGAGTGAAAAACAATACTGAGCCAGCTAAAGTTGCGTCTTATAATAAACATTAATAATCAAATCATATCAAGTGACCGTCGTCATCATAATAAAGGTAGTCGCACACATTTTATTTACTTCGTTGTTTTTACTGTTATCAGTTTGCTTTCAATGTAGATGATGATCCGATTGGTTAACGGAGTAAAAATGCTAACTGAGATGCTACACCACCATACACCATGCCGAGTGGATACCTTTTCATTATCATTGTAATTAAATACTCGTTTAATATTTTTAAGTATTGTTGAAGTTAAGTGTATTGTCGATATTGAATAAACATTTTTTCTTTCTTTCTTTCTTCTTAATAGAAACTTAGATTATAGAAGCTAATCGCATTAACGGGGTTCAACAAATCCATGGCATATGAACTGTATTAAGACACAACACTTAGTCTTGTGTAGTTGATGTAGAGTCAAAATAGTGCTGATTCTGAGAAAATTTTCTCAAAAAGTTTAATTAAAAACCAAAAAATCTAATATTTATTATTTTTGACAACAACTGATATTTAATAAAGTCAGTTGTGTGTGTAACTACTCTTATACTTATCGATAAGGGGAAATCCAGAATCCCTGACTTGAACTAACTTAACGTTTTGTATGAAAGACAAAACTTCATGATGTCATTTCGATAAATCGGAAAACGGGAATCTCATTCAAACCCCACTGCTCTTTAAGGCGGTTCCACTCGCGTGAACTCCTTTGAAGTAAATGAAAGTACTAAAACTAGAGCAAAAAAAGTGCTACAATTATGTATGTTTCTTTGTGAAGTAAAAAAAACAAGTGCTGAATCCTATAATTCGTGTAAGAAAAGTTTTGAAATCGGACTGGAAAAAAAACAAGCGTATGGAAATAGGTGAGTGTGACGTCAAAACGCGTCCATTATAACATTTATGGGACTCTACGTGTTGTTCTAACGTGGTCAGTGACGTCACAAGATTTCTAATGTGTATAATATCTTAACTATTTTTCAGCTTTCTGTTATTATAATATTAAAAATAAACTCATGTTACGATTGTGTATCAAATACTTGTAACTTTAACCTAGGTATTTTATAAAGATGTCGATAAGGATGGTAAGATTAGAGAGAGATATTAAAAATATATAATATTTATTTATTTAAGACGTACAAAACAAAATATACAGTCAAAATATGATTTACAAATACAGTACGATGTTATTCATTTAAATCTAGTCAAAAATCCGTTAAAATATTCAGTAAACTTTCAGATACATTCTAATTCGGTCGTTGCCTACTTCGTTGTCCGCTATACATAAATACATCCCCTCGTTTGCCCTGGACAGATTACTGAGATACAGGTTATGTGGATTGGTAGAATTTCCTCTGTAACAGAAAAATAATTATGTCTTATCGATATCATTTGGATTGTAACAAATGAAAGCACAACCCATTAACGTTAAGCGGGGCTTATTCTCTGCTTATTCCCAAATGGACACGACAGATAAATATCTATCAAAATTCCCAACTGGGCACGAAAAGGTGAAAAGTACTGTCAGAAAAAAATGCGTATAACATAGTTTTTCTTATTTATTAAAGGCATACAATCCCTTTATTACACAGGTCAACAAAAAATCAAAATGAAAATGGTGCCGAGATTCTGATGATAGTTTATTATTAGGTGTGTATTAGTAATAATAAAAATATTTTTCTTTTTTATTTCCTACGTGTAGTTTTGGATCTACCCTCAGTTTTAAAATTTAGCTTTAATCGGTACTTTGGTTGCACAGTTTGTAGTGTTATCGGTACATTTTTATAAATACATTTATTTTAATATCATGTCTGCATTGCCAAGAAGTTATCTCAACAATCAAAATGTATTTTTGTTACATTTGTGATGTGTACACAGTTAAAAAGTTCGAAAATTCAGGCAAGATTTTATTAAAAGTGCTTATTTTTCTTACTTTAAGTCGGAAATTGTGGTTGTATTCAAGCCGTGGATACCCAAAATTGTTTGTATAAGCTGCTGTGAACACTTAAGACAATGTTTCAACGGTCAAAGAATCCGTAACATGAAGTTCAGAGTGGAGAAAGTGAAGAAAGAACAAAAAAAAACTAGTTTGAGCATAAAAAAAGATTTTAATTAATTTATTAAGTAAATTTTGATGGTCCATAAAATAAGAATATTAATAAAAGCTTTTGATTTCTTATGTTCGATGGACTATTTGGAACGATCTGCGTGGATTTTGTTCGTTGAAATTACAAAAAATTTTTTCGGTAATCACTAGTCCAGTAACTACCTACTCTGAAATTGTTAGACATGCCTTAAAAACTCAGGATGTAATAATGTCCATCAAAGGGCACTACCTCCACAGTCATCTCGATCAATTCCCAGATAATATTGGTCACTATAGCATGCTATAGCTAAGAACAGCGGGAGCGATGCCATCAAGACCTAAAAACCATTGTAAGAGAGGCACCATGGCAGATGGGATCGGCATATGATGGCTGTTTGCTGCTGGGGTATATGTAACGCGATAGTCCCACTACACCTCATTCACAAAAGTCGTAGAAAAGAAAGTTTTTGGGCACTTAAAAGTATAAAAAACGCTGATTTTTGATATTTTTCTATATACGTCAAAATCTCGAAAACCACACGTAGGAAATCAACAGTTTTGCTACTAAAGCAACCAGTATAGGTCCTCAATCAAAAAAAGTATACAGTTCCTTGGCACCAAAACCAGTGTTGACCAGTGTTATCATTTCTTTATATTCTCTACTTATGAAATTATAATTATCCATCTGACTGTATTTTCGGATTTTCTCTAAGCATAAGATGGAAACGTGGCCAGTTGGTAATTTTTGTTTTACCCTGTTCCTGATAAGTCCTTGACATTTGATTTCATAGGACGTGGATCCTATGTCTGTGTGATATCTGGTAAGATAAAATCACCGGAAATAAGTTTTCACCGGAGTAACGTTTATTAGTTGGATAGTCTTGTATCAGATTACATTATATGCAAGACTTTATCAGGAACCCTTGAAAAACCTAAATAATAAAAGTTATAGTGTAAAAATAGCATTCAATTGTTTTTATTAAGACGCAATAAAAACACTTACGTACTATCTACTCCACGCTCTTTAGGTACATTACGTTTACTATAGTCATCTTTGTTAAATAATTATTATCAAGAAAAATATTTCGAAGGTTATCATAACGGACACAAATACTCGCAATAACTTAAATTCCAGTTACAAAATGCGATATTATTACTGGGATATTCATATTATTCATACATTGCACATTTTGTAATTTTAACCAAACCCATTGACCTAACTTGATAACCCAAATAAATAAAGAGCAAGAACTGTTGTCGAATCTATTATTAAAGGTGATTTTTATATTATTTACATTGTAACTATTAGCCTAGGCGCAGACCATCGATTTTTCGTCGGCCGATAGTTTAGTCGGGCAGTTGCTCAGTATGGGCAAGTATGGAAGTGCGCACATTACACCGATTTATTTGGCCGATTCTTTATACAATTTAAAATCGGGCACAACTATCGGCCAGCTAAAAATCGGTGGTCTGCGCCTAGGCTTAATATATTAATTTGAAACAATTGACATTAATAGACAATCGCACTTAAACTAATACGAGTTTAGCTTCCACAGTGTGAAGCCTTTCGTGCCGTCGGCCGTCGCTCGATCTATTCACTTTGTAATACAAATCGATCGAGTTAACTGCGCACCTCACTGCCGTGACGTCACATCGATGCTCTGGTATGGACGGGGCACACGCGGGGAGGTGTGCAAGGGAGTCTAATTCCAGCGAAGTGCGCAATTAACTCGACCGGGTTGTACATGATAGTAGATTTTAAACTTTCGCGTTCAATTTCAACTAAAATATGCCGCGAGCAGCCTGTCTGCTTGTGACCAAGGCTGCAGCATAGCAGCGGAAACGTCAAGCCGTACATTAATGTTACTCATTCATAAATGTCGCGTTAAGACAGGGATGTTATGGATATCGTAACCGTAACCGAAACGTTCGGATATAATATTATCCCTATATCCGTAACCGTATCCATAACCGAAACTACATATCCATAACATCCCTAGTTAAGATCCGTGTCTTTCTATTTTACATACAATGTAGTAATCAACAACAAACCTGGATAGAACTGTGGTTTTGGAATCGGGAGCTGTGAATTCCCATCGAGTTGTAGGTTCTGGGTTGCCGTACAGAACTTTGCAAGAGAGATTGATGTTGCTACCAGGAGTGACTGTCATCTCCCTTGCCTCTGGTGGTTGTATGTATGGGGCCACTACACAATAATAAAAAAATATTATTTAATCGCCCCCGTTGTCTATTGATAAACACCAATCTAATGCCCGTTTTCACCATCAATCTTTAATTTTTAAGTGACCTTTATGAAATTCGTCTCTGAAAATCGTTTAACTAAAGTGATAGTTAGGGAACGGATAGAGTAGGCGCACACCGTTGATTTTTAGTTGGCCGATAGTTGTGCCCGATTTTAATTTGTATGAAGAATCGGCCAAATCGAATCGGCGTAGTGTGCGGACTCCCATACATGCCCATACTGATCAACTGCCCGACTAAACTATCGGCCGACGAAAAATCAACGGTGTGCGCCTACTCTTAGGGATTGATGGTGAAAACGGGCATTAGATCCTGAGATCCCGGGTTTCATTTCCAATGGGGGGAAATGAAGATGCAACTCTGAACGGAATAAGATGTGGAACTTGACGCCATAGTAACTTTTTTTAGCTCAAAAGTACCAATCCAGCAATGTAACACATTTAGTTATTGGAAGGTGGGATAGATTTCATAGAAACCCTGCCATCATCCTTTTCAGCTCCATTTAGTTGGTGATAGAGCTTTTTCTAAGGCCCACCCGCATAGATTGGTTGTCACCATAACAATAACAAAAGATTTAAATTGAATATGGCGTTAGATTGCTAACAGCTTCTCGAGTTCTGTTTATACCTCAAATTAAGAAACACTGATATCAGAAAAATAAATAAAGTAACATTTCTTACCTAAAACATTTACAGCGACAGTCTTCTCTGTTTTTCCAACTGAATTTTCCGCTACACAACGGTACTCGCCTGAATCTTTCCACAGCGCTGAGAAACTGCAAAATAAGATTGCAAAAATTCCCGTGTTTCATATTTCAGATTCTCAATATCAAAATTAGGCTTTCCATTTGTTATTTTTTTAATCTTGCTTTCTGTTTCTATTCACAAATTGCTACAAAATTGTATAAACTACTTAAAACAATGCTAAAATAAAGAAAATTTAGTTTCTGCCATGCTAATAAAAATGTATATAAAACTGACAAGTCAAGAAAACAATATTTTCTTTTATTTTCTTAACATTTTAACGATTCATCATCATCGACGTCCACTGCTGAACATAGGCCTTCCCCAATGATTTCCATATTGCCCGGTTGGTAGCCTGCATTCAGCACCTGCTTCTTAAATTTTTATTCCACTCTACAAAATTCACAAAAATCCGAAGCTTACCGATGTGTATAACGGTCATCAACAGTATGTCTATCATCCATAGGCACCACAACACCCCCTTGCGTGAACTCCCAATGTACCGAGGCCTCGGGTTCCGCGTCAACCTTACAAGGGAGGTCCACTGAGTCCCCTTCTTTTACCACCACTATTCCTTCATCGCTGCTAGATATGATTGGTGCATCTGCAGATTTGGAAGACTTTATTTATTTTGGTGTATTAAAAATTGACAATTTTAAATAACTTGAAAAAATCGAACTGAACTGCCTAAGGCGGGAATCGAACCCACGACATTTCGCTTGCCGGGTGACTGCTCTTCCATCTAAGCTATTTAGACACTGGATGAACCAGTCGACATTTTCAAGTGTAATAATAGTTAACCAATGGTGAACGAATGAGGTCAGTATCATAAAAATTCCCCAAGATATCAAGATGAGCGATAACTTTGACCTGGTTGTAATAGAACGCATCTATTGTAACAATTAATCCTTAGGTTAAACGTGACTATTCCCACCTCTCGTACCACAGCTGCAACTCCTGTGTAGCCAGGATCTACAGCTTGACCGCAATAAAAACCCAACCAGTGAAGGTCAAATTTGTCCCGAATCCTTAGGTTGTCAATAAAAAGGATTTGCCTGCAGACAATAGAGGGCCCCCGCTGAAAATCAGTTTCGAGAAGCCTTGGCGCGGTCTTGATGTATGCTGAGCCTTTTTGTCAGAGGGGCACAAGCAGCTTTCTGTCCATTTGTGTATCTCTTTCATTATGTACCTATGTCTTACCTGCTTATATGTCTTTCTTTTAAATAAAAACTATTCTATTCTATTTGAAAAATGTCTTACATTTTATATTAACAGAAATTTCTTTCGAAGCTTCGCCAAACATGTTGGTGGCCACACATCTGTAGGTTCCTCTGTGCTCTTTACTGACTACCGAGATCTTCAATTTTGCTCCGTCTACATACACATCACTCGGCACTCCCACAAAATCATATTCATTAGGGATTTTGTATTCCCAAGATATCTTTGGTGGAGGATTGCCTCTAAGAACTCTGCAATGAGGGTATAAAATAATTTATTATTAAGCACAGTTACAGTACATAGTATCATCCAATAAATATTTTTGCAATTCCATAATCTCGAACTTTCGTTTGTTCTGTTTTTCCTTTCTGGTAACAGCAGTCAAAGGGAAATATTGGTGACCATGTAAAAATTTTCAAGTGGTTCAACTTGGTATGTATGTTACGGTTAATGTGATAAATTGAAAATTATTTATAATAACCGGTTATTATGAATAATTCCCGACAGTCGCGGTGAAAGTGATAAATTAATCACATTTAACAGTGATTATTTTAATAATTCAACCTTAGTACTAACAAATTTCATAAAAGAGAACAACATCTTGTGTACGTGCTCGTGTATAGCCAAACTTTTGAACGTTTTGATATTATATATTAATATAATTTGGCATAATGAGTTTGGAATGTTTTTTGCATAATATTACTTTTCCATGATGCCTATAACATAATGTTTTGGTTTAAAGTGAAAAATAGGTTAAGGTGCGGCGGGGGTGGCCCTTGGGCCACCCCTAAGCCGCCTATTTAGTTTTATACACACATAAATGACCTCATATTAATCACATTTACCAAATCATGCGGTAATGAAGAATGTTCAATAATTTTGTTTTTTAGCTTTCTGTATTCTCTGTTAAAAATAAAAAATACACGTGAAAGAATTATTTCGATACGTCAATTAGTTTCCAAGATATTGAATTTTAAAAGTGCGGGCGGCGGCCGGCCCGCCATTTTATGCGCGTGACGTCATATTACAGTGACTGGCTCATATTTGTATGGGTGGAATCTTGCAAGCTGAATTAAGACCCACTTCCAGGCAACCGATTAAGCTGAAATTTCGCAAACACATGTGATTTGGATGACCATGCAATATTATGATGACATGGAGCTGATCTGATGATGGAGCTGGAAGGTGGCCATAGGAACTCTATAATAAAACGACTTAAATGCATCGAGTTTGGGCTCGTTCGTTTTGTATTGATGAGTATTTTAATTCTATATAGTAATCAGGGTCTAATGATGGAGCTGGAAGGTAATTCGCAATAAAACGACACAATCGCATCAAGTTTGGGTTTGGTTCAATTTTAATTTCTGTGATGGGTCTGGGTGTTAATAATTATGTATAATAAGTTTGTATTTACAAAAAAAATGTATTTAAGTAGGTATGTTTATATCCGTTTTCTAGTGAGCGGACACTGTGAATGTACGTCACGCGGGGTCACGTGACCGTCGGCGGGACTCAATATTTAAGCGAACTTTGAATGCTTATAAAATCATAACTACTGGGTATTTTTGAATGAAATAAAAACTAATGTATTTGTAAATGTAAAAGCACAGTAAAAGCTTAACTGTAACATAGGTTTCAAGTGATTTTGCATACCTAGTAACATTCTCAATTATTCATAATAACCGGCGATTATTCATAATTTTCACATTTATCACTTTGACCGTAACATGTACAAGTACTAGTAAATATTATATTATAACTTTACCGGCATTCTGTATCGAAAAAATCTCCAGGCTTGAGATCTACTTCATAATTATCAACATCTAGCTCTGGAGCCTCTGAAATGTAAATTGGTAGCACATAATTAGTATCATAATATCATACCTAAATGTTTCAAAATTTTCAAATTCTTTGTGATCAAAATACTTACCTAGTCCCGAAACAGTGACTTCAGCTTTAAATATTTTTGACTCGATTTCGTTACTTGCCTTACACTCATACAAACCAACATCGTTTAGTGTCATGTTTTTAATAACTAAAACATTCTCATCTTTCACAACTTGTATATTATCCGAAAAGTCAACGGAAGTATCATTATGAGTCCATTTTATTTCTGCTTCGGGGTATGCATCTACTTCACAATACAGTTTCCCTTCTGAGCCGTATTGGAACGTTTCGTCTGAAATTTGTGATTATTTTATTACCTTTTTCCCGCGGCTTCACGCTCGTGGATTCATAAATCGTTATCAATTATAGCGTTCAGAATACAGATGTGTAAAAAATATATTGTAAAGTTTCATGAAAATTCGTTGTACAACATCCATCCAAAGCCGCAGGCAAAACCTGGTTTACAATAAATTATTATTAGGAAAACTAAAAAACTACTGACATCAGTATGCCCTAGCTAGGGGAAGCCGCTTCATGGTTGTGAATAATTATCTTGCTAAATGTAATCTAATATCTTTTACATTACATAGTATCTAAATATTTTGTATCGATTGAGTCCAGATTGCTTACATTGTAGACATAATTAAAACCGCTTAGCTACTCGTATGCTGAAATAATGCGGATGATGATCATTACAGCAATATTTTATTAACCTCTGCATAACTTGTACTGAGGCTATTAGATTATAGAAACATCCCATAGTCAGCTTTGTAGTCTCAAACATTAATAAGTCCACAAGGTGGACCGACGACATCATAAAGGTAGCAAGGAAGGCGCTGAACGCAGGCCGCTGCCCGCTACCAACCGGTCAACATGGAAATCATTGGGGGAGGCCTATATTCAGCAGTGGACGTCCTATGGCTGAAATAATGATGATGATGACCCACAGCCTTCAATAGGTATCATCTGGTATCCTTCCGTTTGGCCAAATTACTTTTCGCCAAATTTCACTTCGCAAACAACTTATCGCCAAAGTTTCATTTCCCAAATGAACTTTTAGCAACTGTACTTTTCGCAACTAATTCATTTGGTCAAATTATCATTTGGCCAAATTTTACTTGGCAAATGTTTATTTAGCAAATGTTTTATGTTGCCAAATATTATATCCCAAATAATTTGTTTGGTCAAATTGACACTTCACATACTTATCCACCGTTACCCACAAAATAAAATTATAAGGCACATNTTAGATTGCTAACAGCTTCTCGAGTTCTGTTTTTACCTCAAATTCAGAAACACTGATACGAGAAAAGTTAAATTACTTTATAACTATATTTCTTACCTAAAACATTAACAGCGACAGTCTTCTCTGTTTTCCCAACTGAATTTTCCGCTACACAACGGTACTCGCCTGAATCTTTCCACAGCGCTGAGAAACTGCGAAATAAGATTGCAAAAATTCCCGTGTTTCATATTTCAGATTCTCAATATCAAAATTAGGCTTTCCATTTGTTATTTTTTTTAATCTTCCTTTCTGTTTCTATTCACAAATTGCGGCAAAATTGTATAAACTACTTAAAACAATGCTAAAATAAAGAAAATTTAGTTTCTGCCATACTAACACAATAACTAGGTACATAAAATAAATATATGTATACATCACAGGGGAAGCAAAAATCATTAATTCAATGGAAATGTTATCAAAAATGTATGTATAAAACTGAACATAAGCTAAGAAAACAATGTTTTCTTTTATTTTCTTACCATTTTAACGATTCATCATCATCGACGTCCACTGCTGAACATATGCCTTCCCCAATGATTTCCATATTGCCCGGTTGGTAGCCTGCATTCAGCACCTGCTTCTTAAATTTTTATTCCACTCTACAAAATTCACAAAAATCCGAAGCTTACCGATGTGTATAATGGTCATCAAAAGTATGTCTATCATCCATAGGCACCACAACACCCCCTTGCGTGAACTCCCAATGTACCGAGGCCTCGGGTTCCGCGTCAACCTTACAAGGGAGGTCCACTGAGTCCCCTTCTTTTACCACCACTGTTCCTTCATCGCTGCTAGATATGATTGGTGCATCTGCAGATTTGGAAGACTTTATTTATTTTGGTGTTTTAAAAATTGACAAATAACTTGAAAAACTGAATTGCCTAAACTACTTAGACAGTGGATGATCAAGTGTAATAATAGTTAATCAATGGTGAAAGAATGACGTCGGTAGCATAAAAACTCCCCAAGATATCAAGATGAGCGTTCACTTTGACCTGGCTGTAACAGAACGCCTCTATTGTGACAATGGAATCCTTAGGTTAAACGGGACTATTCCTAGCTCTTGTACCACCGCTGCAACTCCTGTGTAGCCAGGATCTACAGCTTGACCGCAATAAAAACCCAACCAGTGAAGGTCAAGTTTGTCCTGAATCCTTAGGTCAATGAAAAGGATTTGAAAAATGTCTTACACTTAATATTAACAGAAATTTCTTTCGAAGCTTCGCCAAACATGTTGGTGGCCATACATCTGTAGGTTCCTCTGTGCTCTTTACTGACTACCGAGATCTTCAATTTTGCTCCGTCTACATACACATCACTCGGCACTCCCACAAAATCATATTCATTAGGGATTTTGTATTCCCAAGATATCTTTGGTGGAGGATTGCCTCTAATAACTCTGCAATGAGGGTATAAAATAATTTATTATTATGCACAGTTACAGTACATCGAATCATCCAATAAATATTTTTGAATTCCATAATCTTGAACTTTCGTTTGTTCTGTTTTTCCTTTCTGGTAACAGCAGACAAAGGGAAATATTGGTGACCATGTCAAAATTTTCAAGTGGTTCAACTTGGTATGTACAAGTCCTAGTAAATATTATATTATAACTTTACCGGCATTCTGTATCGAAAAAATCTCCAGGCTTGAGATCTACTTCATAATTATCAACATCTAGCTCTGGAGCCTCTGAAATGTAAATTAGTAGCACATGATCAGTATCATTAATATCATACAAATTTTAATGTTTCTTCGTGATCAAAATACTTACCTAGTCCCGAAACAGTGACTTCAGCTTTAAATATTTTTGACTCGATTTCGTTACTTGCCTTACACTCATACAAACCAACATCGTTCAGTGTCATGTTTTTAATAGCTAAAGCATTCTCATCTTTCACAACTTCTATATTATCCGAAAAGTCAACGGATGTATCATTATGAGTCCATTTTATTTCTGCTTCGGGGTATGCATCTACTTCACAATACAGTTTCCCTTCTGAGCCGTATTGGAACGTTTCGTCTGAAATTTGTGATTATTTTATTACCTTTTGCCCGCGGCTTCACGCTCGTGGATTCATAATATCGTTATAAATTATAGCCAATATGATACGTTCAGAATTCAGATGTGCAAAAAATATTATGCAGTTTCATGAAAATTCGTTATACAACATCCATCTATCCGCGAGCAAAGCCGCAGGCAAAAGCTGATTTACAATAAATTATTATTAGGATTAAAATTTGATGACACTACAAAACTACTGACATCAGTATATTCTCTAGGGGAAGCCCCTTCATGGTTGAGAATAAATTTCTTACTAAATGTAATCTAATATCTATTGCATAAGAGTATAGAATACATACAAGTATGTGTTATGTATCGATTAAGTCTACATTGCTAACATTGTAGACATAATTAAAACCGTTTAGCTATGCTGAAAATAATGCTGATGATGATCATTACAACAATATTTGATTAACCTTTGCATCACTTGTACTGAGGCTTTAATAGTTTAGGCAAATAATAGAACATCCCATAGGCAGCAGTTGTAGTCTCAAACATTAAATTTAAATACCCACCAGGTGGACCGACGACATCATAAAGGTAACAGGAAGGCGCTGGACGCAGGCCTATGTTCTGCAGTGGACTTCCTATGGCTGAAATGATGATGATGATGATGATGATGACCCACAGTCTTCAATAGGTATCATCTTTAACTGGAAAGATCGTAGAAAATAAAAAAAAACCTTAAATATGTTACATAAACTTACTTTGAGGTGTTTGAAGCACATTAAATGTAAAGGTACGATTGGCGTATAAATCAATAAACTTTTCATCGTTTCCATCTCTGTTTTTGGCTTTACAATACATTGTATGGTTTTTTGTAACATTCACTGTTACATACGACAGGTAAATAGAAGGTATTTCCAAAAGTAGTTCCTGAAAACAAAGAATAAAAGTTTTCACCAAGTTTCAATCATAAGGTACAGAAAGAAATGTCTATTCTTTTTACCTCTGTAGTATACTTCGATTCTTCATTATCTACCCACACAATTTCAGGTTTTGGGTACCCAACAACCTTGCAGACTATCGTTGCATTAGTACCAAAGTTTATTAGGTTATTCTCAACTTCTAATATCTCCACCACTGGTTTTGACCATACTGGACTGCGCACTGAAATAATATGAAGTTATGGGATTATACCATACTTTCGTTCCCACCACTACTATTTCTATGTTCAAGGATCCTAGGATGTAAACCACCGATCCTCTAGTACAGTGTTTTTCAACCTTTTTCATGACACGACCCCCTTAGCATGAAAAAATTTTTGGCGACCCCTCGACCGTTCGCTTTTTTTTTCATGCGTTTTTTAATGTTGCATAGATGTTTGTAGGGACCGAATACTTAAATCCATACAACATTTGCATAATTAGATTTCGGATTAATTTTTTTTTACTGAAGTAGTTTTTACGACCTCTCGCGACCGTATAGAGGCTTGGACCCACAGGGGGTCGCGACCCACAGGTTGAAAAACACTGCTCTAGTAAAACCCAACTCATAACGGTCGAGTTAATTGCACACCTGGCTGCCGTGACGTCACATCGATGCTCTGGTACGAGCGGGGCGAACGCGGAGGTGTGCTAGGGAGTCGCATTCCAGCGAGGTGCGCAGTTAACTCTATCAGGTTGTAGTATATTTATGTTTCAGTAAATGGGTAAATGATATCTTTGAACCCAAAACGCGAACCAAATAATAACATTTCCGAGCATAAAACTTGGAATGGACATATTTCTACTACAAGGCAGAAGAAAGATTCTTACCCCCTTACTAACCCTTAAATTGGCACTCATTGAACCCTTGCTTCAAAAATGGTCAAATTTGGGATTTAGGTATTGTTTTGATAGATTAAGAAAAAAATATTTTCTTTTTGAAAAAAATTCAATTAGTATAGAAGTTATGACATGTCACTCAAAACGGACATTGCCAATTATTTAGCATTACATCCATGTCACTTAGGGCGGACATTGCTAGTTTAGGAAAACAAATGTAAAACAACTTTTATTAATAANTTTGAATTTGAATTTATGTTCTTATGTTTGAACCCAAAACGCGACCCAGATTACGTCGTTGACTTTGAAAACCTCGTAAGTCGGATTTTTTTTTACCAAAATCACTTTTTAATGTTTATAAATGTAAGAAAACCTCTCAACGCACATTTCGAGCTCATCTATGTATATTCGAATCGGATGATTGTAGTGCTATCTATCGCGTTCAATGAAAACCTCGTAAAATATTCAGGAGACTGTTTTTTGTCTCTCCTGAAAAATTTTGTTTTCGGTACCTACTTACTCCCTCGAGGTTTTCACTCCTCTACGACGATAATAGTATTTCCGAGCATATTATTATACAAGAAACTTGAAATGGCCTTATTTCTACTACAAGGCCTATGGCAGAAGAAATATTAGACTAAAATATGCTAGAAGTTAATCAGAAGACTTACCTTGTGTTTGCACATCTATCACTTTGCTTGTGGTTGTCATTTCTTTGTACGATGCATCTGTTCCATGGATCTATAAGGATTTAAATTTTAATAAAAAATATTTCTGTTATCCCTCTAACAAGTAGGTAAGTATTTATTTAAAAAAATAGGTAGGTTTTTACTAATTAACTCTTAATCTAAATTCTGCGAGCTCGTAGAGATGAAGGCCCTTCTCGATTGACGACCACGAGCCGGAAGACGTAGTGTGGGCAGGACTGGGTGGACCGACGACCTGGTGAAGGTCGCGGGAGGTGCCTGGGTGGGCGGCGCAGGACCTATCGTTGTGGAAATCCTTGGGGGAGGCCTTTGTCCAGCAGTGGACATCATTTGGCTGAAAATAACGAATGAATCTAAATTACATAGTACAGTACCTACTTATTATTATTCTGTGATAGTACCTAATATCTACTACACTGGCATAAAAATCGACCCACCCGCGACAAGCACTTTCAAACGTATGCATCCCCACTTCCCACCAATATTACTATACTATATTACCATTTAAAAGCCTAGTTCTAAACTTCATTTCATTAAAGGAAAGGTTTTTACCCCAAAAATGTGTCTGTAGAAGAATCCAGAGTCACTTCTTCAAAAAATAGGTAGGTTAGGTTAGGTTAGGTTAGGTTAGGTTAGGTTAGGTTGGGGTGCGATGGTGAGGGACCTCCCCGTGGTGCATCCCGGGCAACGTCCGCGTGTTCTGTCACGCGAGCGGCTGACTCCTCACCGGCGCGGCAGGTCGCGTCAACTCGGCCGGCCTGTCGGGCAACCCGTAACCCCCCAATGGAGGGGGGCCGGGGGCCCGGCTACGGAAGTCGGGACCAAGACAAGGACAAGTCTATAAAACCCCTAATCCTAAGGTCTGGCGGGGGCCGAGGGGATGAATGGCTGGAGGGCATCTAGCATGCTACCCCGTCGTGGAGGTGGGGCAGCTGCGCCCGTAAGCAGACACACAGCATGGACGCAAAGAAAAATGTTAGTATACCCCAGGAGGGTACCGGCAATGCCGGAGAATCCCTCACCGCCTCGGCGGTCTCGGCTCACGTATCTGGGGGAGCCGCAACGCGTTCTGTGCTTTCAGCAGGTGGAAAGGAGAAGGAGATAGTGGTGAGAGTGGAGAGGATGAGACCTCCTTCCTTTGATGGGACCAGGCTCCGGGCCATGTTCGGAGGTCCTGCACCGTCGAAGAAGCAGGTTGGAAAAACTGAGAAAGTCGCCGAGCGTGCGGTCGAGACCGCTCCGTCATCCAGTCGGAGCGCGACTCCCGCGCGATTAGGCGGCACGGTCACCGAGCGGGAGGACGGGGTCACCCGATTAGGTGGCCATACCGGAAGTGACGCCCCAGGATATGACTCTTGGACGGACGACGGCGGGTCGGACAGAATATCTGCCTGGTCCGTCGAATACACGGACGACGACGACGTTGTGTCTCAGGCAGATAGCGTCGATAGCTCCCTGTCAAGGGCGGGCGTGAAACGCTCCTTGCCTAGAGAAGAGGAAGAGGATGAGGAAGAGACTGACAAGGTACCTAAGCTGTCCAGTGGGCGGCGAGGGCGCGGCTCCCGCGGTCCTCATATTAAGAGACCGCGCGGCCGTGGCAGACCTCCCAGCACGGGTGAATATGTGGGCCTAAAGGCCAGAAAGGCTGCCGAGAAGGCTCTTCAAAAGGAGCTGGACAGGCAGGCCACACTATCGGAGACGGAGGATATGGCTGTGTCCTATTNATTTCAGAATTCAACCCCTAAAAGGGGGAAATGGGGTAAAAATGTCTAAAAATCAACATGAGTATTTATTACTGATACATGGCGTTGTCCGTTTTAAGTGACATAACATTTGTAACCTTGAAATGAATGAACAAAAATCGATATTTTTTTACGGTTTTGGCTCTAATCGTCAGTTTTATTCGTTAATATTCAAAAATCAGTCAATAAAGCACAAGAACAAGTGTAATACCCACAGTGTTGCCATATTTATCAACAGCGAAAACTTGACCTTGCTGTTGCAGTTATTCAACTGTCTTAATTTTTAAAATTCGCGGTTTTTTATGGAACTACTGCCCCGTGTTTCACATAAAATATCATGCTTTTTATAAAATATCCCTTGAAAGTCGATAAATTGCTTTAATTTAGATTCTGTAGGCAATTGTTTGATATGTCCTTTATAACGGACAGAAACCATTTAAGGGCTAATAATAAAACTTACACGCTCGTTGAACAGTGTTTTAAAGTGACGTTTAGTATGGAAATGTCATTTTAAAACAGTGTTCAACAACTGTGTTACATTTTATTAGAAAAATTACTTCTTTAAATACTTACATTGTGCTTGCACATCTATCACTTTGCTTGTGGTTGTCATTTCTTTGTATGATGCATCTGTTCCATGGATCTTTAAGGATTTAAATTTTAATAAAAAAATATTTCTGTTAACCGTCTAACAAGTAGGTAAGTATTTATTTAAAAAAATAGGTAGGTTTTTATTTATTAACTCTTAATCTAAATTCTGCGAGTTCGTAGAGATGAAGGCCCTTCTCGATTGACGACCACGAGCCGGAAGACGTAGTGTGGGCAGGACTGGGTGGACCGACGACCTGGTGAAGGTCGCGGGAGGTGCCTGGGTGGCCGGTGCAGGATCTATCGTTGTGGAAATCCTTGAGGGACCAGCAGTGGACATCATTTGGCTCAAACGAACGAATGAATCTAAATTACATAGTACAGTAGTTACCTAATATCTACTACACTGGTCATCATAAAAATCGACTCACCCGCGACAAGCACTTTCAAACGTATGCATCCCCACTTCCCACCAATATTACTATACGAGTACTATATTACCATTTAAAAGCCTAGTTCTAAACTTCATTTCATTAAAGGAAAGGTTTTTACCCCAAAAATGTGTCTGTAGAAGAATCCAGAGTCACTTCTTCAAAAAATAGGTAGGTAGTTACGCTTGAGTCAACTTTTATGGCTATAAAACTGTTAAGTTGGGATTAATCGATATCCATCTGTTAAAGAGGACACGTGAGATCATTATTTGCTTTTATAACCATAAAAATGCGTCTAATTGATCCCAGAGGTGAGCCCAAAAGACAATGCCGGAAATTGGCGTCTTTTTTTTTTCGCGCGGCCATCGACCAAACCTTGTTTTTTGATTACAATATAGTGTAATAAACCAAACTTACTATGACATGTATACCTCTAAACTCAGTCTGAACTGAGTTACGAGCATCAGAAGTTTGATGATTTTCATACTAGATTTGCTGTTTGCGCACAAGTTTTGTAAGAAATTGCAACAAAATAATGACATTGTATGTGTAAACAAACAATACCATCCATTAAAGGCTCCAGACATCAGTATGCAGCAGAATCAGTGCAATAAAAAAATAGCGCAATATTTTGTTACAAAACTTGCGCGCAAAAAGCAAATCTAGTATGAAAATCATTAAACTTCTAATGCTCGTAACTCAGTTCAGACTGAGTTTAGAGGTATACATGCCATATTAAGTTTGGTTTATTACACTATTTTGTAATCAAAAAACAAAGTTAGGTCGATGGCCGCGCGAAAAAAAAAAGACGCCACCTTCCATACAAAATCTGGCATTGCCATTTATTGTTGGGGCACCATGATTGTGTCAGTAGAAACTAGTTTTCCTGTAAAACGTAGGTGGGCCAATTTTTGTGATGACCAGTGTATTTAAGGGGTTACCTACGCCATATCGAATGACAAATGATCGAAAATCAAAATATCGAATACGTTTCATCGAACGATCAAAATATCGAACGATCAAAATATCGAAAAAAAAAAAAAAAAAAAAAAAGGTTAGGTTAGGTTAGGAGTCAACTTTTATGGCTATAAAACTGTTAAGTTGGGATTAATCGATATCCATCTGTTAAAGAGGACACGTGAGATCATTTTTGGTTTTATAACCATAAAAATTCGTCTAATTGATCCCAGAGGTGAGCCCAAAGTGAGGTCTTTTTTCAAGTTTTTCAAGTCACATTTATTGTATAGGTATGTTCATCGTTTATTAGGAAATTAAATGTGTTTTTCTTTAAGGATATTTATTGGGCTTTCAAATAACACCAATATTGTTAGGGCACCATGATTGTGTCAGTAGAAACTAGTTTTCCTGTAAAACGTACTAAGTAGGTGGGCCGATTTTTGTGATGACCAGTGTATTTAAGTACTATTCCCTTGAAAGCTTAACCGAAACTTAAATTATTAAGCCGTAAATTCTACTTACCAACATTTTAAATGAAGAGTTTTCTACAAACACATTAGTCAAATAATACCCCTCACGAACTTGACTCTCTTCGATGGTAAGCAGCTTTTTTTCGTTACTATCTGTCATTTGCAGTTCAATGGAAGTAATTCTGAAGTTGTAGGCATTAGGCGCGACTATGAGAATATAATTTTGACGCCCTGTAAAAGATTTGTAGGTCACTTTCGTACGTAGTTGGTTACGGGAGGTACGGCGGGACGTCCGCGGAAGGCGCCTTGGTCGTCTCTAGTACCCAAGGCGCCGACCACTATGCGGCAGAGGGAACACCCCAGATTTTTAGTGGGTTCGAGCCCCACTTAACCTGCCGTCCCCCGGCGGTAGGTATGGATAGGCCATTTTCCTGTGCAAACTAGGGCGACAGTTTGAGTGAGGCTGCGGCCAAAGCGTGGGGATACGCACGTGAACGACTTAACGGCACCTTGCGTGCTGCTACCCTAATCGCCACCCGAGGGACCCGTCAGGTTTTTAGTGAGAGCCCCAAATAACCCACCAGAAACCCCGGACCAGTGGATATGCATTTCATTCAATACATTTTTCTGACGCAAAAAGAAAATTTGTGTGCAAACTGTAAACTATACAAGCACTATGGAATACTGCGTCAGCAGTGCTTGCAAAGCTGAACTAACTTAGCTTAGCTCTTGGTCAGCAAACCGCTTACGCTCGGGTAGGTACTACAAACCGGTAGAGTTAACTGCGCACCAGGCAGCCATGACGTCACATCGACGCTCTGATACGAACAGGGCAAACGAAACACGGGGAGATAGGGTGCGGGCCCTTTAGGTTCAAAACGTCCAATTCAGACGTCCAGAACAGCTAGGGACTGGAATTCGCTGCCTGCTGCTGTATTTCCTGAACACTATAATCCGGGCGTTTTCAAGGCGAGAGTGAATAGGCACTTACAGGGCAGATATGTACTATCCTAGACTGCATCTCACTTAACACCAGGTGCGATTGCGGTCAAATACCTGCCTTGTCTAGCATAAAAAAATAAAAAAAAATTCCCAAAATGTCCAACGGTTTCAAAATGTTCAATTCCCGGAATGTCCAATTCCTAAAATGTCCAGTTCCCGAAAGGTTCAATTCCCAAAATCTAGTATGGGTTTGTTAAATAAGTCCTCATAGCCTTTCTTAAAAGTAAATGGGAAGGAGAATCGCATTCCAGCGAAGTGTGCAGTTAGCTCTATAGAATGTAGATTCGACGCCCAATAGTGTTTCTAGAAGCTAAAAGTATTTATACAGCTGTAAATACCTGGCATAGGCCTGGTGGTAGTTTCTTGCAAGCTATTCGGGATTCTAGTGGAGAAGCCATACTGGTACGGAACTTGACTCTTCTTGTAGAACGTCAAAGATGTAAGTCCTTGGCATCTGACACTTATCTGATATTCACCAGGTCTTAGATCTGCTAGCCGGACTACCTAAAGTTACATACAATATATAGGGTAGACATGATAAGTGATCTCACTCGATTATTCATAAACTATACATGATATCAAAAAACTGGTTACTGATCCTTCATAAACTATACAAGATATGTATAAAAAACTGGTTACTGATCCTGAAAGTGCTTCACGAGCTCTATTAAGTGGTATCAATAAGTTACATACTTATAATACACTGGATCTATCAGAAACTTCAATGTTTCCAGCTTCCATACATTTAGTATGATTATGAATAATCGAGTGAGATCACATAATCAAGAGCGGTTAGTTTAGATTAGGTTATCTTAAAAGGGTACTCAAAACGTTCGGTCCTTACCAGCGATTGTTTCGTATCCACAATCTTCTGTAATTCAGGATTTTTGTGTTCTGAATCAACTACTTGCAATGTAGGGTAGTCGCCAGAAATGGCTATCATAAAGTCTGATGTATAAGCATCCACGTTGACCTATAAACAGATTTTGTCAAGTAATAGAATTTGGCCAAGTTTTAGGAATAGGCGTTTTAGGCGATTATCACACTGCACCGCGCTCCGCCGCGGTCCGCGTGGCGACATAATAACGAATCCCGCGCGCAAACGCGTTGTCAATGTGGTGTGGTACTTGCATATTATTATAATGATTAAATCTGTCGTCCCGCGTACCACGGCGGAGCGCGGTGCAGTGTGATAATCGCCTTAATGCTATATTAGCTGAAGTGATAATAATTAACGGTACTTTGTTTAATCCTAAAAATATTATACATTACTGAAAGTTAATCATCATAGAATACATACCGTAAATTGTTTGTATCCGGTAAACGGTTCATGGTTGATGACGTCATTCCAATCGGCTCTAATCATTTCCTTCACATAATTAAATGCCTGTAATAATATAAGGATTATGTATTTCCAATTCCATGTTGTCCTTATTGAATAAGGTTATTATTAAATCCTCAGGCAGGCCTCCCTCTAGGTGGACTGACGATCTGGTGAAGGTCGCGGGAGGTGCCTGGATACGAGCGGCGCAGGACCGGTCTTTGTGGAAATCCTTGGAGGCCATTGTCCAGCTGCAGCAGTGGACGTCTTTCGGCTGAAACGAACGAACGAAGTAATTGACCAGACTATCTGCCATTAGGTATTTTCGATTTGTCTAGATTAAATTAAATGTAGATATTATTAAATGATAAACAGAGTGCAAGATCAATACTAACACGCGTTAGCAATAAGCATTACAATGTTGCACTTCATTGAACGGATGTTTGTATAATATCACTGAATAGGTACTTTATGTAATAAGAAGATATGCATGCATAGTGCGTGCATAGGTAGGTAGTTCAACGACACTAGCGGCCGCCCGCGACTTCGTACGCGTGGATCCCGTTTTACCCCCTTAGGGGTGGAGTTTCGTAAAATCCTTTCTTAGCGGATGCCTACGTCATAACATCTACCTGCATGCCAAATTTCAGCCCGATCCGTCCAGTGGTTTGGGCTGTGCGTTGATAGATCACTGTCAGTCAGTCACCTTTGAGTTATGTGTATTTAGATAAGCCTAAGTTCGTAATTAGAATACTCTTCTACCTAAGTACTCTAATATTATAAAGAGGATTATGATTGTTTGTTGAAAAATTCTCCGTTATTTCTGATGAACATAGGCGGTACGAAGTTCACCGGGTCAGCTAATATTATTCTATTTGAGAAAATATGAGAGTAAAAGTAAACTTAATTGAATTTGTAGGAAATGGACATACCTAGGTACCTAGTTAACCGTTGCTTAATGTTAATTTTTTAGTAGAAAGTTTTACTTAAGTTTTACATACCTTTCTCAAGTTAACGGCGTCAAACTTGAAGACGGCTCCGGAACAAGACCTGGCGATATCATAGTACACGTCTGCGTAACCCTGAGTCCTGGGTTCGGACCCTGAACAGCTGCCGCTCAGAAATATCACCACCTGGCATGAATAGGTGTTAAAGCCTGGTCCGTGAGCACAGCAATATAATTACGCGCGAGCGTTATGGATGGGTAGCTTGGGGTCATTGGACAAAATTCTCACGGACCAGGCTTTACCAATAAAGATGATACCTAGTTAAGTATTATTACATTAGCCATTAACGCCCGTATTCACAAACATTACTATGAGGTCTCACAGTGCGCGTAGACGCACAGGAACCAATCACAGAGCTCTATTCAACGCTGTGCGTTCGATTTGCAGCTTCACTTAAGCAAGCATCGTTTGTGAACACGGGCGTAAGTGTCGGATTCAAATAGTTACCCAACTGGTAGGTAACAGTTGAAAAAAAAAAAACATTTAATCAAAACATTTAATCAAAAAATAATTACCTGGCTCTGGGTGGTTCTGCACAAATTCTGTATATCTTTCAAACGTGTGATATCCTTGGCGAATGCGTCCGTGAACACGTAAACGAAGGAGTTCGGCCGACTAATTTCTAAAGCTTTGTGTATGCCCGCCAACGAGTCCTCTGGACATTGATTTCCTCCTCTGGCTGAGATGCTATGAAAAATGTCTACCATATCATCAGGATTTGTTGAAGTTAATGGCGGACCAATATCTGAAAAAACAAGTTTTGAATAGTTACCTTGGACTCAAGTTTTAACAATAATTATTACGAGTATTAGCAAAGTATGCTGGGCTAACTTGCTGTTCCCGCCTAAATTTTTTTTCCGCAAGGAAATTAAAAAAATAACTTTAGGTTTGACCTACCAGTATTTGGCCAACTTAAGCTTACTTACTTAGAGCAGTTGTTTATTTTATGGAAAAGGTACTCAAAAACGAAACTTTCTATTTTCTGCGTTATTAACCCTTAAATACCTAAGTCTTAAATTTAATACTGATTAATTTTAGTCGCTCCTTATAATTCATGAAATAAAATATTTAAGAACTTAAATCTCCTAATAATTAGTTATATTAAAACAAAAAAAAGAAATAGGAATGACTAAACAGATTTTGATGTTCACTGTCAGATAGCTTATAGTAAATTAGAAAATAATTCATTAATTTTAATAATTATCATTGAAATCTTACCCGGATCATTAAATGGCACGATGATAAAGTCGTTAAAATCTGGCATATTTTTCATTACATCAACAACTGAAGCTATATTTATCTTGATGATGTCTATTTCAACCTGCATAGAGTCAGTTGTATCGAGAACAATTGTGAAACTTTTTCCCGACACAAATTTTAGCGCAAAAAGCGCAAAATATATTACAAAACACTTCGAAATCATTTTGAATAGTATCTATAAATGTTAATTTTGTACGAATGCCAAGCTTGAATAAGTACTACTAGCGGCTACTTTTATTAGAACTGATTATTACAATGTAACCGTTAAATTAAGGGTCAGTCATCTCTAACAAAACTAATTATCTGTCGCAGTTTTACTCGTTAATTTGGTCCATCCTAATCCTAGTTTAAGTGACAGGCAAAAAAGGCAAACTAAACAACCTACATAATTAATTACATCCTAGTCTCATTTATAAGGAATTATACTATTTTTAATTGGTTTTTGCAACTTCCCTTTATATGCAACTCTGTAGTGAAACCAAGTTTATGTTTTGATAACCTTTGACTTAATAAATAATTGATTACTAATTATTTATGGTTGATACTAATAATAACTTATGATAATTAAGTCCCCAACTAATTAACTATGTAGGTACCTACTTACACTCCACAGCAAATAAATCGCACCACCCGCGACAAGCATTTTCAAACGTATGCATCCCTACTTCCCACCAATATTGGCACCATTTAAAAGCCTAGTTCTAAACTTCATTTTATTAAAGGAAAGGTTTTTACCCCAAAAATGTGTCTTTACAAGGATCCAGAGTCACTTCTTCAAAAAATAGGTAGTTACGCTATAGCCATTTTTTATGACTATAAAACTGTTAAGTTGGGATTAATCGCTATCCATCTGTTAAAGAGGACACGTGTGATCATTATTTGGTTTTATAACCATAAAATTTGGTCTAATTGATCCCAGAGGTGAGCCCAAAGTGAGGTCTTTTTTCAAGTCACATTTATGGTATATGTTAATCATTTAATAAGAAATTAAATGTGTTTTTCTTTAAGGATATTTATTGGGCTTTCAAATAACACCAATATTGTTGGGGCACCATTATTGTGTGAAAAGAAAATCTTTAAAGTTCGCGTTGCGGGTGGTGCGATTTATTTGCTGTCGAGTGTATACACTCCACAGCAAATAAATCGCACCACCCGCGACAAGCATTTTCAAACGTATGCATCCCTACTTCCCACCAATATTGGCACCATTTAAAAGCCTAGTTCTAAACTTCATTTTATTAAAGGAAAGGTTTTTACCCCAAAAATGTGTCTTTACAAGGATCCAGAGTCACTTCTTCAAAAAATAGGTAGTTACGCTATAGCCATTTTTTATGACTATAAAACTGTTAAGTTGGGATTAATCGCTATCCATCTGTTAAAGAGGACACGTGTGATCATTATTTGGTTTTATAACCATAAAATTTGGTCTAATTGATCCCAGAGGTGAGCCCAAAGTGAGGTCTTTTTTCAAGTCACATTTATGGTATATGTTAATCATTTAATAAGAAATTAAATGTGTTTTTCTTTAAGGATATTTATTGGGCTTTCAAATAACACCAATATTGTTGGGGCACCATTATTGTGTGAAAAGAAAATCTTTAAAGTTCGCGTTGCGGGTGGTGCGATTTATTTGCTGTCGAGTGTAGATTACTAAGGGTACCTACATAGTAAAAGTTTTTTCTTTATTCTTCAAACTGGGATTGAATTACAATACAAGTCAGCATGCAATGCAGTAATGAGTTCGAATTCTCGGGGACAAAATTAATTACACATAACTGCCATCCTACAAACAAACGCGGCATAATTATTTAAGGAGTAAGATAAAATTCTCGTTTTGAAAATGTCTTAAACAAGAGAGCATTATTTGCAGTCTCCTAAAAGCTTTTCTGCTCGAAACTTCGCAGCATGAACTTCTTAATTAATAAACGAAACTCATGCTGAGCTCAATAAAAACTAATCGTCTCTGTGGCGCTTCAATTAAAAATAAAACTGTCAATACCGAAATGTCAATATGACATTGACAAACATGACAGATTGATTGACGAGAGCAGTGTTGCCAGAAGGTTACTTTTGNGCGACTTCGTATGCATGAAAACGCGTTTTCGCAACATTTTTCATTTTTGCTCTGCACCTATTACTTACTCGTAGCGTGATAGTATATAGCCTATAGCCTTCCTCAATAAATGGGCTATCTAACACTGAAATAATTTTTCAAATCGTACCGATAGTTCCTGAGATTAGCGCGTTCAAGTAAACAAACAAACTCTTCAGCTTTATAATATAAAGTATAGATTTAAAATTATTCAGTTTTAGCATCCTACCACAGAATAAGTAAATCCTACCTACTAATGTTGTAAGTAAATGCGGAACTTTGTGAGTATGGATGTTTGATACTCTTTCACGTTAAAACTACTAAACGGATTTTTACTTACACTTGATAAACTTTACAGTACCTAGATAATATTTTTTATACATGAGAATAGCATAATAGAGGTAGGCTCAGCTTTTGCCTACGGCTTTGTCCGCTATATGTTTATATTTATTTATAAAAAAAGATAAAGTTACGTTAGTAGGGATAATTCATAACGATTTTGTCAAAAGCAAGTAAAGCAGATTTTGAAATAGTCTGAAATAGTACCAGTACCAAGAACTTATATTTTTTTCGTTATCCAAATGTTAATATTATTTGACATACGTTTAGGTGAATACCTAACTGAATAGTTTGGCAATTTGCCATTCATTCAGGTACTCCAGTCCTTCTTAAATGTTATAAAATTTTATGGCTTTTAAATAATTTTTGCCAGGGGGGACAACAGTCCTCAAATCATTGATTAAAAATCTAGTCCTGTTGTCTCCCCTAGCCTAGGGGGGCCAAGCAGGGGGGACAACAGGACTGCACCGAAAATATCAAATTAGCCCGTAATCCTGAATCCTGATACATAAAGTTAGCCAATTAATTTAACACAGGTACGACTGTACTCAGTGTTGCACTATCAAATGCAATTGTCGCGCCACTATGCCAGGGTTTTTATGTTCCTGGTCAGGCTATACTTCCCGTTTTTCCATTGAGCTGAAATTTTGCATGTCTACACAGGCATGCAAAATTTCGTTTCGTTTCGCACTAAATAATTTAATTTACACGTGTTTTCATGCTATGGCCAAGTCAATATATTTATGTAAAACGTTAAAGATTTCCTGGACTGGACTGGACTAAATCCATGGATCTCACAACTGTTTACCGTAGAACAACTGAGTAGCGAGAGTTGGTTTTTTGACAAGTATTGTTTTTTTGATGGGTTTGTATTACAGAAGACAGAACGTATGTGTACCTAATGGGATAATAACTGTTTAAAAACACGATTAGATAAATTTTGCTCTATGGATAAAAATCTTAATTATACGACCGTTTTATAATAATAAATTCTTTAAAATCACAATGATATCAGTATTTATTTACCTCTTTGATTTCCTGACTTGTTTAGACTTACAAAATTTAAATATTTATTATTAACTTTTTGATAATAATGTGAAATAAGTTACGAGCTCTTTGATGGACACAGATATTATAGATAACGTTTAAAAAATGGCACGCTCGTTTTCACACATTTCATTCTATTTATTTAACCTATCCATATTTATGTGCGGAAACGTCACAAAATCAGAATAAATTTTAATTTTTCCATCCCGCATCATAAAAACTAAAAAGTCAAAAGTAAAATTTAAAAAGTAAATATTTTTCATAAACAAGCTTTTGATGCTCTAAAAAGAATAAAATAAAACATAAATTCTTTCAAACCCATCAACTTATTACTTTTTTCAATTTAAAGATAAAAACTTGTCGCGGGATTTACTTGTATAAAAAATACATTAATTACGTAACTTGATTTTGCTAAAAGTGATCTGAGAAATAATTACCTTTTAAAAAAAATAAAACCGACTTCAAATGCGTGAACACAAAAAAAAAACTAAAAATTAAAAATATTGCGTATAAAAAAGTTCATCCCCAATTTTCCACCCTTGAGGGTGAAATATTTTCTTCAAATTTGCATGAAATCACCCTTTTGATTAATACCTATTCAACAAAAAAATAATCGTTCAAATTGATTTATAATCGGCGGAGATATTGCGTATAAAAAAGTTCATCCCCAATTTTCCACCCTTGGGGGTTGTTTTTTCTATTATTAAATTTAAATGGGACCACCCTTGAGGTATTACCTATACGTCGAAAAAAGATTTGTTCAAATTGGTTCATAATTGGCGGAGTTATCGCGTAACAAACATTAAAAAAAAAACATACGGGTCGAATTGAGAACCTCCTCCTTTTTTGAAGTCGGTTGAAAATAGGTAAATTATACATTATTTCTATATTATATGTATGATGTACTGTCTTAGATACGATACAGCTACGGATTAAGATCGTTTAGTCGACGCAGCGTTGAAATTGTAAAGATAAATGCAGTTTGCGCACTCACTACGCGACGTCAAGCAATAAAAACCTAAAATTCGAACGCCAACTTTTTGCTACAACGCTCTTAATCATTTCCACCCTGTATTGGTTTGATTAGGTTATCTTAAAAGGGTACTCAAAACGTTCGGTCCTTACCAGCGATTGTTTCGTATCAACAATCTTCTGTAATTCAGGATTTTTGTGTTCTGAATCAACTACTTGCAATGTAGGGTAGTCGCCAGAAATGGCTATCAGAAAGTCCGATGTATAAGCATCCACGTTGACCTATAAATAGATTTTATCAAGTAATAGAAGAAGATTTGAAATACTTTGGCAAAGTTTTAGGAATAGGCGTTTTAGGCGATTATCACACTGCACCGCGCTCCGCCGCGGTCCGTGTGGCGACATAGGTACTAATAACGAATCCCGCGCGCAAACGCGTTGTCAGTGTGTTATGCCGCGCGTGTTTTCTATACAAATCTTGCATTATACTTGCATATAATGATCAAATCTGTCGTCCCGCGTACCGCGGCGGAGCGCGGTGCAGTGTGCTAATCGCCTTAATGCTATATTAGCCGAAGTGATAATAATTAACTACTTTGTTTAAACCTAAAAATATGATACATTACTGAAAGTTGAATACATACCGTAAATTGTTTATATCCGGTAAACGGTTCATGGTTGATGAAGTCATTCCAATCGGTTCTAATCATTTCCTTCACATAATTAAATGCCTGTAATAATACGAGTATAAGGATTATGTATTTCCAATTCCATGTTGTCCTTATTGAATAAGGTTATTATTAAATCCTCAGGCAGGCCTCCCTCTAGGTGGACCGACGATCTGGTGAAGGTCGCGGGAGGTGCCTGGATACGAGCGGCGCAGGACCGGTCTTTGTGGAAATCCTTGGAGGCCATTGTCCAGCAGTGGACGTCTTTCGGCTGAAACGAACGAACGAAGTAATATAAACTGGCTCATAGAAGTGCATGCAATTGAGAGGGCTTTGACCAGACTATCTGCCATTAGGTATTTTCGATTTGTCTAGATTAAATTAAATGTAGATATTATTAAATGATAAACAGAGTGCAAATCAATACTAACACGCGTTAGCAATAAGCATTACAATGTTGCACTTCATTGAACGGATGTTTGTATAATATCACTGAATAGGTACTTTATGTAATAAGAAGATATGCATGCATAGTGCGTGCATAGGTAGGTAGTTCAACGACACTAGCGGCCGCCCGCGACTTCGTACGCGTGGATCCCGTTTTACCCCCTTAGGGGTGGAGTTTCGTAAAATCTTTTTTATCGGATGGCTACGTCATAACATCTACCTGCATGCCAAATTTCAGCCTGATCCGTCCAGTGGTTTGGGCTGTGCGTTGATAGATCACTATGTCAGTCAGTCAGTCAGTCACCTTTGAGTTATGTATATTTAGATAAGCCTAAGTTCGTAAGTAGACTACTCTTCTACATACTCTAATATTATAAAGAGGATTATGATTGTTTGTTGAAAAATTCTCCGTTATTTCTGATGAACATAGGCGGTACGAAGCGAAGTTCGCCGGGTCAGCTAATATTATTCTATTTGAGAAAATATGAGACTTAAAGTTAATTTTATTTGAATTTGTAGGAAATAGACGTAGGTAGTTAACTGTTGCTCATTTTAGGCTGAGTTGCACCACCTTATTTTAACCATACTTAACATTAATATTAACCGGTGTTTTTTATATGAAGTTTGACAGATTTTTGACTTTTGTCAAAGTTCAAGTAATATGGTGTAACTCAGCTAATGTTTCAGTTAAGTTTATACCTTTCTCAAGTTAACGGAGTCAAACTTGAAGACGGCTCCGGAACAAGACCTGGCGATATCATAGTACACGTCTGCGTAACCCTGAGTCCTGGGTTCGGACCCTGAACAGCTGCCGCTCAGAAATATCACCACCTGGCATGAATAGGTGTTACCAATAAAGATGATAGTTATTATTACATAAGCCATTAACGCCCGTATTCACAAACATTACTATGAGGTCTCAAAGTGCGCGTAGACGCACAGGGTGACACACGAACCAATCAGAGCTCAATTCAACGCTGTGCGTTCGATTTGCAGCTTCACTTAAACAAGCATTCGTTTGTGAATAGGTAGGTACCTACGGGCGTAAGTTTCGGAGTTAATTAAGTGCGATTCAAATACCCAACTGAATAGGTAACCGACTAACATCAAAATTGAAAAAAAAAAGAGAAATTCAAGCAATAAACGGTTACAAGTAAAAAGCAAGCAAGTTTTAATTAAGAAGAGAAGTTTTTTGTTAATTATGGTAATATGGGTAACTCGAGTAGGTACCTAATGTGTGCAAGGCAAATCGCATGTACCTACCTATTATCGAATCCAGTAGTTACTAGAAGATCCTATTTAGTATGAAACATGCTATTATGAAGCACAAAATAATTCATTATTATTTTTATCATAAGTATAATTAAAAGATTTCATTAATGTCTAAATAATTACCTGGCTCTGGGTGGTTTTGCATAAATTCTGTATATCTTTCAAACGTGTGATATCCTTGGCGAATGCGTCCGTGAACACGTAAACGAAGGAGTTCGGCCGACTAATTTCTAAAGCTTTGTGTATGCCCGCCAACGAGTCCTCTGGACATTGATTTCCTCCTCTGGCTGAGATGCTATGAAAAATGTCTACCATATCATCAGGATTTGTTGAAGTTAATGGCGGACCAATATCTGAAAAAACAAGTTTTGAATAGTTACCTTGGACTCAAGTTTTAACAATAATTATTACGAGTATTAGCAAAGTATGCTGGGCTAACTTGCTGTTCCCGCCTAAATTTTTTTTCCGCAAGGAAATTATAAAATAAACTTTTGGTTTGACCTACCAGTATTTGGCCAACTTGAGCTCACTTACTTAGAGCAGTTGTTTATTTTATGGAGAAGGTACTCAAAAACGAAACATTTTATTTTCTGCGTTATTAACCCTTAAATACCTAAGTCTTAAATTTAATACTGATTAATTTTAGTTGCTCCTTATAATTCATGTTATAAAATATTTAAGAACTTAAATCTCCTAATAATTAGTTATAATAAAACAAAAAATATATTAATTAGAAATGACTAAACAGATTTTGATGTTCACTGTCAGATAACTTGTAGTAAATTAGAAAATATTTATTAATTTTAATATTATCGTTGAAATCTTACCTGGATCATTAAATGGCACGATGATAAAATCGTTAAAATCTGGCATAATTTTCAGTATATCAACAACTGAAGCTATATTTATCTTGATGATGTCTATTTCAACCTGCATGGAGTCAGTTGTATCGAGAACAATGGTGAAACTTTTTCCCGACACAAATTTTACCGCAAAAAGCGCAAAATATATTACAAAACACTTCGAAATCATTTTGAATAGTGTTTATAAATGTTACTTTAGTACGAATGCCAAGCTTGAATAAGTACTACTAGCGGCTACTTTTATTAGAACTGATTATTACAATGTAACCGTTAAATTAAGGGTCAGTCATCTTTAACAAAACTGATTATCTGTCCCAGTTTTACTCGTTAATTTGGTCCATCCTAATCCTAGTTTATGTGACAGGCAAAAAAGGCAAACTAAACAACCTACATAATAAAATTAATTACATTCTAGACTCATTTATAAGGAATTATACTATTTTTAATTGGTTTTTGCAACTTCCCTTTATATGCAACTCTGTAGTGAAACCAAGTTTATGTTTTGATAACCTTTGACTTAATAAATAATTGATTACTAATTATTTATGGTTGATACTTATAATAACTTATGATGAGTCCCCAACATAATAATTAACTAAGTAGGTACCTACTTAGATTACTAAGGGTACAAATTAAAAGTTTTTCTTTATTCTTCAAACTGGGATTAGTATGCAATGCAGTAATGAGTTCGAATTCTCGGGGAAAAAATTGTTGAATAAATAAAAGATATTAATATCTAATTAATTACACATAACTGCCATCCTACAAACGCGGCATAAATTATAAGAAGTGAGATAAATCTTGTTTTGAAAATGTCATAAACGAGACAGTATATTTTTTTCCGTCTCCTAAAAGCTTTTCTGCTCGAAACTTCGCAGCATAAACTTCCTATAAACGAAACTCAACATGCTGAGCTCAATAAAAAAACTAATCGTCTCTGTGGCGCTTTAATTAAAAATAAAATTGTCAATACCGAAATGTCAATATGACAATGACATACATGACACTATGACAGATTGATTGACAAGCGAGATCAGTGTTGTTCTTGATACGGCAATTGCCGTAATATACGGCATTCAGGCATCTTAGGCACCATAAATACGGTATACGGCAGCACTTTGATTACCGTATCAAAATATACGGCAATTGAGTAAAGTAGAGTTTTTCATGAGTTTTAGTAAACAAAAAATAAATATTTCGTCTAATGGAACGCAAAAACTTGTAAACCATAAATGAAGTAAAAGCGCCACGAAAAGAAACGCCAAAAATGCAACCATATCTCCGAGATTTTAATGTCTAAAATCGTTATTTCCTCATTTTGGTAGATTCTTCACTTTTATTCGGGTAGGTTCTTGGACTAAATTATTCAAAACCTTAAAAAGTGAAGAATAAAATAAGTAAGTTTAAAAGTAGTATACGCATAGTACATAATACATCACTTGTATTTTTTTTAATTTAAACCTTCCAAATAAACATTTTATACAATACGGCAATTTTCTTAGTTTTCCTTAAAAATCCGGCAATTTTAGAATTAGAATACGGCAACCCTAAATTCGTCAGGAACAACACTGAGCGAGATTGTGAGCACAGATTAAGTAATTGTGAGCGAGACAGTGCATGCAAATTGCTCAGTGTAAAAGCGCAAAAAATATTGGATTGATTGTTTATTTTACAGTTTATCAATACTGTATAATGTCTTTCAATACTAGTAATTAAAAAACACGAACAATGACTTCAAAGTTACCTCCTTACATATTGCACGAGTTGCCCGATATCTCAGAGTATATCAAATTCCCTCTGCTAAGTGTTCAGCGGATAAAGGTCAGTCTTTCTGGATTTACTCCATTGGCAAATAGTCAAAACTATTAAAATTATGCTATAGTTGCATTTGAGAATCATTAAATCGGAAGAGATGCTGTTTTAACCATCAATTTTAAGTCATTTGCTGTAGAGTTCACTTGTAACCTTGCTTATTACATGAACCAATGATTATGTGGTAATTTAATACAAATCTGTCGCATGCATGTGTAACAATACAATGAGGTAGTAATCACCGATTCTATGTTTATCTGCCAACTAGTACTAATCTGGGAAAATGCAAATTATATTGTTTTTATTCATCATTTATTAGAAAAGTCCTAGAGTTAGTTCTAAGGTAAGTACCTAAGCTAATTTCAATTGATAAACATGCAATCTAAACTTGTTTTACCGGTTTATAATTAACTCACATAATTAGGTACTAATTTCCAGACTTTCAGTGCCAAATGAATCATTGGCACATCCTTTTGAATTTAATCAACCATGAAAAACAACTTTTATTTATGTACCAATTTAATTTAGAGTACCTATTGTACTCTAAACTTAAAAACTTATACATACTTATTAAATTAATGTGTTAAATTGTTATGAATGATGAGTTAAAAATTGTGTCTTAAAAAAATCATAGCGATAAGACCTCCTATTTGTACTTGTCCATGTGTTTCTTTTATTTGTTCTTGTTGTGGTGTGCATTAAAGTTCTATTATTATTATTTTTCAGAAATCACAATTTAAGCAAACTATCACGTAAATCAATTTTATCATATGCCTAGATGACATAAATAAATGTCACCTAGCACTTATAATTTTATTAACATTTAGTATTTTAATGTTTCAGTATACGTGTTTCGATGTTTCAAGAACGTTGATAGCGTTTGGAGCCACAAGCGGGGGCATCTACGTTTTTAACAGATGTCCGTGTGAATTTATACAGCTTATACCAAATAAGGTGAGCATATTAGTATCAAGTTTTATTTTGTTTCACTTCATTTGTCTAAAAGTAAATTATAGAATTCTCAAGCAGAATTATTAAGAAACATAAAATTTGTTCACTACATGTTGTGACGAATTTGAATTGGACTCTTATTTTCTTTAAACTTTTTAGAATAATAAGAGTTTGCATCTCAGTGCTATTATACTTTCAAGATTTATAGTAAAAAAGTTCAATTCTCCAATGCATTAGTTAAAGTTACAACTTGTATAATTTCAGGATGGTGCAATAACTCGGCTAGCCATATCAGCAGCAGAGAAACACATAAGTTTTGCGAACGGACGAGGTATTGTTACGGTAACAGCATGTGACCAATCATTGAGTGGTGGTCACTCTGCGGTGACGTCAAAAGAACACCAGGGTAACGAAGTCACTGCTATGGTATGGAGTGCTAACAACATGCTGTTCACTGGTGACGATGTGGGGAAAATATCTGTGCTGCAATTGCAGAGCTTTATTGTAAGTTCTTTTTCTATTCAAAACACTAAAATTTATAGTGTGTTCTAAAAGCTTAAAATATTATTTTGGTGTATTTATTTAAAGCTTTTAATGTGATTAAAATTAATGTAATGTAATTATTTTATATGTTTCAGGCTAAAACAATGTTCCAAAGTTCATCCCAAACAATAATGAGCCTGGATTCTCGTATTTGTCAGTTAGATATCAAAGCATCCATGTTGCTAGTGTCCACTCTTACTCGGTGTTACATTTGCGACACATCCCAAGAGCAATACAGGCAAATAGGACAAAAATTAAGAGACGGCGAGTACGGCGCCTGCTTTTACAACAAAGAAAAAACTCCATTTAACACAACACATACTAACCAAGACGTTACCGAAGTAAAAAGGTACAATATTGTTGATGTTGACACAGGTTTTGCTGTTAGCAAAGAATTAGAAAACACACTGATATACTGTGCAAGACCATCTTCCCGGTTATGGGAAGCGACAATAGATGGCACAGTTAAAAGAACACACCAGTACAAACAAGTTTTAGCCAAAAACCCTATGACAATCGTGTCACTAGAGTCGTATACAAATGAAAATATAAGCAGAGAAAGTATAAACGTTGAAGGAGAAAGTCAAGCAATAAATTTTCCAAGGATATACAGCGTTGATAGTGCCATATTTTCGTTTAAAAGAGATGCCCTGTATTTCCTGAATCTCAACAATGTTGATGACACTATGTGGTTTACGTACAAAGATATAATTGACTGCAAAGTGTACCACGACATGATATATTTATGGCTAGCGAATGGCTCACTTGTCACACTGAGGTATATGAAACTCCAAAAGTTTTTAGTCAAATGTTATATTGATGAGAAATATGTACTCTGCACAGAATTATGTTCACTCTTTAGGGATTATTTACTCGAAAATGATTTGTCTGATAAACTGCATATCTTAGTTGGTTTAAGAGATAAGTTACAAAACAAGGAAGAGTTGAAAAATATTGATGATGTTCTAGAAAAATTCGACAATCTGAAGACCAATGAAGCTACGCAAATGAAATCTGGTATTTATGTTGTCGATAATACTTTTCACCAGTCTACTCTCCTCGAGGAAGATGTATCGAGCCAAAAATTTAACGATGACAATATGTTTACTACTACACTTTCGCCAGAAGCTTTGCAAGCATTCAAAGATCTCAGCGTAACAGTCTCTGACAAATTTAGTTCAAGCAAAAAAATATTGAAAGAGAAATGGGAAGATTTTGAAGGAAAAATGAAAAATCTCAGCGCAGAAAAGCATACAATCCAAGAATTGAGACTCCCTAAACGAATTATACCTGATATTATAGCTGATACCGAATATGAGCCCAACTTATTAGATGATGATATTATCTACAAAGAATCTAGTCAAAAAGCCATAGAGATAGAGGACATAGACAATAACAGCATAGAGCAGGACAAAGTGTGTAAATCATTGTACCAATACTATAGGTTAAGTTTAGTGGGTAAGGAATCTGAACGACCGAATTTAGTTTCTACTATCGAGAGCTATGCCTGTGATATTAGACAGATCTACGAACTTATGCTACTTTTAGAACAATACTGCGTTTCTGTGGGAGACGCGGATGAATCTAAATTTGTTTCAAATAATATATTTTTAATCTATTTATGCTGTAGCAATCGCAAGAAAGAATTATTAGATTCTATTATAGAAGACGAGGAGTTGTACAAGTATTTTGTGGATTCGTGCATATCTGTTAATATGAAGACGCAGAAGTTATCGAATATAGGCTGCGAGTGTGGTTTTCCGTTGCCATATACGAGGACAAACCAAACGCCAGTATTTTCCGAACTGATTGACGAGTTCATAGAGCGGCAATGGTCGAGTCAATGTCGCGAGCAATGTTACGAGACGTGCAGGAGAATGCCATATCTGTGGAGGAAAATATTATACCTTCGGAGGAACGAAGATCTGTTGAATGTGCTGAGAATACTGTTGCAGATGCTTGATGAGAGTTTGCTTCATTCCTTTTTGCCTCAGTTCACGTTAGAGAGCTGGGATAGAGCCATTCAGTTGTATGCTACGTTGCACGCGAATATGTGTTTGAATTGCAATAAAAAGTTTCATCATATATCTGTCAAAGATATGTTGAGTTGGGACGATTTGGGGGCGTTGATCATAAAGTCTGTGGGAGGGAAAAATGCGGTGAACGTGTTAAGAAAACACGCGAAGTTGATTGACCTCGGAGAGCTGTCTATGAAGTTCTACCACACGGCTATGCTGGTGGCTATGTATGAGAAATACGACGTGACGATCACTAGTCAATTGACAGAGACTTTGTACAGCGCGTATGAGTTCGAAGATTCTAGAGCGGCTGTAAGTTTTTTTTTCATTATTATCTATTCTATAAATACAGATTTCTAAAATTTTGGTCTTCATAGTTATAATAATATGTAGTGTACAAAGTGGTGATGGTAGCTAGTAACTTTTTCCAAAGTCAGGTGTTTCATTCTGAAAATCACCATTTTTGCTAAAAGATACCACAAAAGATACTATGAATTTCTAATTAGAAAAAGTACCATTAAGGCGATTATCACACTGCGCCGCGCTCCGCCGCGGTACGCGGGACGACAGATTTCATCATTGTATGCAAGTACCTCAGTTTGTATAGAAAACACGCGCGGCACAACACACTGACAACGCGTCTGCGCGCGGGATTTTTTATATGAAATCACGCGGACCGCGGTGCAGTGTGATAATCGCCTTTGTTAGTCTAAGTTAAGAATTGACTTTCCCATTGATGAGAAATTTCAGCTGATAATTTAAAATATGCAGATACTTAAACAAATATTGTACTATTTCCAGATCTGCAGTCTTCTTCGAAACACTGTCAACGGTCAAATAAAGAACACAGCCGTACCACTTATAGTTGCTGCGAAAACCGACCATTGGGGTCTCACACCACCCCACGATGCAGTCCCAATAGCCAGCGAAAGTTCAAACGAAACCGAAACCGTATGTAACAAAATCAAAGATATCTCCTTCCTAGATATAGTAGATAACTTGTCAGATATATACAAACACGATACAGATTGTACGCTCTGTGGACTGCCTTTACAAAATGAAGTGTTAATACAAGATGGCGGTCTGTGGGTCTTCAAATGTGGACACCTTTTTCATGGAGCGTGCTTAGATGTTAATAAAATTAAGCTGTGCCCTACTTGCCCTAAATGAACGTAATTTGTTAATACATTTATGGGATATTTGTGAAATTTGCGCAAACTGTAAGGCTAAATGTTTGCATTGCGTTTGGTGCAAGAAAAAGTAGGCTTTGAAGTAACATTTTCGCAAATAAGTGCGGTCCCTTTTCCATAAATAGGGTATTTTATTTGACACCGCCAATTAATTGACATACTAATACTAGCTTGTGACGTCACTACTTTGTCAACTTAATTAAACTAACCAAAATTAAAATGCAACCAAAAATCTTAATTGACAAGGAATTTAAAATTAATTAAGTTTTTAAGACCAGAATGAAGTTTATCTTTAAAATAGTTGTGCTTAAGAATTATTGGCAAATGGTGTCAAATACCCAGCTTGGTCAGTGAAGTGATGGAAAGAGAAATATCAATATGATGAATGATTCAAAGGTATTGTATATAAAAGGGAGATATCTTGTTTGTGCTTAACCTTGTAGGTTATAAGCAGAGGATTAGTACACTAAAATCAGTCTTGCCTTAGTAACTCGTACTTAATAAAACTGCTTATTATTTAACCGCGATGATATTTATTAATAACGATTGGTACTCTAATACAAATTCATTTATAGAAAGCTATTTTACATGTCCCAGTATTACAATATAGGCCAGTGCTGAAAAGAAGCAGCGTTAGAAAATCAGTCACTATTTATATTTATAAAATAAAACGAAAACAGTAAAATTTGAACATGAATTTGATGAATTTCCAGCGGCCATAGTGCTGTTTTGAAGTTTATGATTGATTACCCTATCGATTTGTTTTTAACACGTCTTTAATAAAACGAACATGCAGCTGTAAATTAATATGCTAATTAACAACTCATTTACAACATGACGAAATAAAACCTAAAAATCTATTTCTTTCATGTACGAAAAATATAATTTTAGTTAAAGATACTTTAGTCAATAGTTCAAGTTAACTGCCGAATTATTTAGAGAAATGTAGGCTGTTGCTTTCTATTACTTTCTGTAATATTATCAGTATTACATTTAAAATTGAACAAATAATGATAGATAATGAGATCACTCAATTAAATGGTATTTACGACCTTATTCCGTTGACTTTATGGCAGAGAGCTTGATAAATATTTACTAGACATTGGAATGTATAACCTATAAATATATCTATAAATAAATATATTATGTATAACCGAAAACTACCATAATTTTATTATGATATTAACCTTGGCTATGTAATTTTTTTTATTGTTAAATTGTGCCATTTAATGCGTTGCTGGGCACATTTGCTAATGTATTGATTATTGATTATGAATTTATTAAACAACGATGGTAATAAGCTTTCCAATTGTATAATTGGGTAGAAAGCAATTTCTTTGACATTCACATAATAATCATGTCTAGTCCCAACTATTCTGTAAAGACTGATTTATACGTAATTATTAAGTATTTAACTAAAATTTAAACTTAATTTTAAGTGATCAAATTGCATCGTAAGCTCTTGTTTACTATGAAACTGCTTGTCAAAACGTGTCAAGTGACAAGCCCCGCCCACCAACTTAACAGAAAAAATTACTAAAAATTTGGTTACCTACTTATCTACTTAATACGTGTAAATCAGCCTTAGAGTAGGCGCACACCGTTGATTTTTAGTTGGCCGATAGTTGTGCCCGATTTTAATTTGTATGAAGAATCACCCAAATCGAATCGGCGTAGTGTGCGCACTCCCATACATGCCCATACTGATCAACTGCCCGACTAAACTATCGGCTGACGAAAAATCAACGGTGTGCGCCTACTCTTAACGTTAAGTGGAAAAAATCGAAACTAATAATAACCCAGTATTGGTAGTAGCGCCCTCCTGTTAATTTCATGTCTGGGACACTTTAGTGTTATCCAACTATAACAGGTTTTGTACTCAACATTATTCCTCCCATGGTCTTCCTACAATTTAAGTTACTGCCCTTTTTAATAAATGTAAGTATGGGCATTGGACATGTATGAAAGTGCGCACATTACACCGATTTGGTATCGGCCGATTCTTCATACAAATTAGAATCGGGCCCAACTATCGGCCAACTAAAAGTCGGTGGTCTGCGCTTAGGCTTTCATATTATATTATGTACTCCATATTGTTAATATGATATTGCACCAGCTTACATTTACATAGGCTTCAAATGTTAAATATAAGCAGTTTTAATGGCTTTTCGTCTTGGGTGAAGCAATTTGTCATTATTTTTGCGTTAGAAGGCACCGTTTTAAAAATCGCTCACAATAATTAAGAACGCCTTTAAGCAAACATATTTTCGCGACTCTATGGTATTGTTCGAATACCGTAAATTATTGTACAATATTTCATATTTATTGCGACTAGGCTAGTGTATGTATTTGTAACATTTTTCCATGAGAACCCTGTACCATTATACCAAAAATAACATATTTATATACGTAATAGATCATGACGTGTACTTAAATTTTATAATTTTTAATTATCTAGTATAAACGCGGCTTATTTTACAATCCGTAGCGAAATGCATTGTTTTGTAAATATATTGTATAGAGCAAATATTTTTGTAAGTGCAATACTTGTAACCATATCGTACTGAATTACCTATTCTGATACTTACGTGTTTAATATGATATTTGAATGTACTACCATTAATAAATTTTACTATCTAAATGCAACTGTATTTTTTAAATTAATTTTTCACTTAATGTTAGTACTTCCTTTAACTGAGTCAGCCTACCTACCTATACAAACTTGACTTTTAAAGTAGATATGGGATAATTTACTTAAATAAAATAACATTGTACTTACTTGTACTCGCTCCAGCAGCATAACACCCAATTTAAAACAACTTATCACTTCACTAACACACACTTTAGACACAAAATATAACAGAAAGTAAACTCCATACTAAGCGCGCTTGAGCCACGCACACATAGACACCGCTCACGTACGCGTTATCAAGACTGTCTTGGACGAATGCGAGGCGCGACTGCGTTCGCTTGAGTGACGCTGCTCACGCGTTTGTGAAATTATTTTGTTTGTGAGAAAATGAGTGAACAACAAAAAAGGGGTATTATAACATTTGTTAAGTAGATGGTTGCTTACACTCAACATTAAAAACTAAATTTTCGTTTTTTAAACTACCAGTTGATTCCGGGAGGTAAGTAAGGTATTTATTTGTATTTCAATAGTTCGTTTGACGTTGACAAATTGAAATCCAACTCAATTATTAGGAATATCGAAGTGTTTTAAAGAGGTTTTAGGAATTATTGGATAATAGTGTCAACCACCCAACTACATACTACGTGATACTACTTCCTTCTCGTGTATTTGTTTGCAAACTATTACTATAATAATAAAGTACTAAACATAACTACATAATAATATAAATATAATGTGGATATCTGTTATTGTCTTTCTTGCATAGTATTAAGAGTTACATTTTTCTATCACAACGAAATAAACGCAACACATGAGAATACAACCCTAGCGCGACGGCCGAGCGCAGGCTCGCGAAGCGAAGTACATACATGAGTTTACCTTCTGTTATATTTTGTGCTTTAGACGTCCGTTCACGACGGCGGTTGGGCATCGACTGACTGTCCGGGACTTGAATCGTAATAAGGTGAACTAGCGAATGAATAATTGAATAGAATGAATGAACTGAGTGATTGGTCGTGATGAATTCTTTGTTTAATTTGTAAAATTCAGGTAATACAGGCCAGGAAAGGTCTTTATATGCTTTTCTTTTTTTTTTTTTTTTTTTTTTTTTTTTTTTTTGTTTTTGTTCTCGAGCAGTGGTGTTTTGTGCTTTTCTTTTTTTTTTTTTTTTTTTTTCTCTTTATTTAAGGAGCTTTGTCAAGATGACAATGTCGCTCCATTAGATACAAACTTTAGGTACAATATATCTAGGTAATATTTTAGGTACAATGTATTTGTGTCTTATTGTCTAAAATTGGGAGGCTAAAAAGCTAGAAAAACACAGNAAACACACTGATATTTTTAAGGTATTTTTAATATACTTTCGGGTTTTGGCACAATTTTTAAATGATGTGACCTGGTTTACACTAGGTAATAAAACCTAAACCTACCTACTTACACATTTGAAAGATTTCGAATGCTAAGTTACACTGGTACTGGAAATAACAAACCGATTTGTGAATTTAAACTAAAAAAATAACAACATCGGGTTTAAGTACATTTCGTAAGTTAAAACTGCCTAAGTAACACTTAGACCATTGTACAATGTATGGCAAGTCGTTCGTTTGAAATCAATCTTAAATAAATAGAAACAGGGAAAAGTTACATCGAGATCTACACAGAACTAAGTGTCGACCTTTAAATAACCGCAACTAACGTTTACACCAAAATATCGCTTATTTACAGGAATCAACATAAAAATAAATAATTTAACCGCACTGTCTAAACTTACACATTTACTAAGAATAATACACACTACCTATTACGATATTCACGTACACATTATTACGCATACTATATTAACACTACATTTCAGTATTACTGGCATACAGCTTAACATACAGAAGAAACAAAAAAAAACAAGTTTTATAATTAGAAAAATAAATAACAAAATTTAAAAAATGGCAATCAACGACTTCGAGAAACAACCTAATTTGATTTTACAAGAAATATCTATACAAGTTGCTATTCAATTATCATTAAGTAGATATTATGCTTGTACATGCTACAGCTTAATTCTATAATCTACTATATAAATTGCACGATTTGATAAAGCGAATATCTTGAATAAATTTAAAATTATTATACAGAACGACAGACATGACAGTTTATTATTGTAAGTAAAGATTCAAACTAATTATGGCCTGTATTATATGATACGACGCTAAAACTAGACTCAAAACTAAATTTATAGATATATTCAAGATCATAATAGGCAGATCTCAAATATTTGACCAGGTAAAAACTCCTATGTCCTACTTAGGAGCTTTTAATTCGTGAATTAAGTGTCGATTACATAATACGGGCATAACTAAGTATGTTTGAAGAATCTATTTTATTTTACTGTCTGTTTGTCGTTCTATATGGTCAACCCACAAAATCGGTGGGTTCATGTGTCAAAGCAATAAAATTGTCTTTACTAAATATCAATGAAAAGAATTGACACAGTATAAATTGACCACCTACCCTCTGGTTCTGGTTACATATTCATACACATTAGGTGATTTTTTTGTATTTTCAATAACTAGCATTTTTACAAAAACCGTCCATTACAATCGAGAGTGATTATGTACTATAGGTATGTATTAATTTCTTAGGATACACGACCACGAGGTCGTAATAGCTACTTACTTCGAACAGATCTATTCTATGAGTATTTATTTATTTATTTATTACAATCATTATGCTTTAATAGATCTCACTGGATTTTAACAGTTTTGTGTTCAAAACACTTAAAATTTTCAAGCCTTCCGCTTCAAATTTTTGGTTTGATACATTTTCATCGCTTAGTTCTAGAGCATCTACAATATTACAACGATTAGTTCATAATCTCGAGCTACTATTTTACATGGCCACACAATATTGATTCATAGTTAATAACTTAAGCTACAACTATAACTTACTTCATTATTTTAGCCAAACATTGATATAACCGTTAAATATTTATCTACAAGAGGAATTGTACTTATTTACAAAATCCGATCATCCAATTTATATGTCGCCCTAGTTCTTAATGAAGTAAAGTCAACTATATACATTTGTCTAATTATCTACGTGGTTTAATACATGTTTGGCACTTTCATGGGGTATTGTGTGCCGCAAGCCTATTTAATGACAATAATATTATTAGCCGATTTTTAGGGCTCCATTACAACAAAGATACAGAATGTACACCCGTTTAAAATCGTGATAAAAATATAACATTTCATTGTCGAAATTTAAAAAGAAAATGAACACAGGGTGTACGTCCCATTTTCTTAATTCACTAATGGAATAATCTCAAAATACAATTGTACGAAAAACGAGAGATCCAATCTAACTGGCTAAAACTGACTCGCTAGGTCTAAAGCGAGTTCTCGCGTCTACTAAAATCACAAAAGATTACATGAATTTAATGAGATAATATAGAGATTCAAGTTTCCACATCCGTAACTTACGCTAAAGTCTTTGCATAATATAACACTCGACAAATCGGTGTAACTTCTAAGCTACCCACCGTCAAAAAGGAGATTGTCATCTCATTTTTGGCGCCGTTTTCAAAAAGACAAAAGAGTGTGACTTGGGGTTGTTCCAATCCAAACCTGTTGGAATTCGAACTGGCACACTCCACAAAATTAAAAAAACAACCGATTCGTCTGTCAGCGTGGTAGGTCTCAGCTTACCAGGGGTGGTGAGAGGGGGGGAGGGGCATAGGCGCGGCGTGCGGGTAGGGCCAGCCGCGCGCCGACCCTCAATCCTCCTCGCCAGGGGATAGCGGGGGGGAGAAACCGGGGTTCATGTAGTTCCCCCCGTTGGGAGGGGGGGAGGAGTTTGATGGGCCAGGGGAGGACAGCGAAGGGAGGAAGCCAAGCTCTCCAGCGCCATCGCGGCACCACAGCTGCCGCATCTCTTGTCGCCGCGAGCGCATTAGGTTCTTGTATTCCGATATCCGCATCTTCTTGCCGTCTACTATGCATGTCCGCTTTGGCCGAGGTCGGTACCTGGAAGGGTAAGAAAATGGTAAAGTTTAATACAATATAAGTAACTGCTATGGTCTCCAATGGGATTACCATGGCATCCATAGCCAGCAAAGCTATTCAACAGGGATTAAAAAATAAAGTAAAGGAGGAACTTATCATTTTCATCTACTGAAAATTACTTAAATTCATTACTCTGGACAAAAATGCTCATGCTCGTTCGTTCGTTTAAGCCAGTGGTTCTTAACCTTTAAGTCATGAGGGACCATTTTACCAAATTTCTGTCTTAACAGGGATCACCTCATTGAGTAATCGGTCAAAACCAGTTTGACTGCAAAAATCAGTTAAAAGTGGTTTTAACCAAGGTGTGCAAGTGCACTTCGTGGACCACTTGGAATGTCTCCAGGGACCACCAGTGGTCCGCGGACCACCGGTTAAGAACCACTGGTTTAAGCCAAAGGACGTTCACTGCTGGACAAAGGCCTCCCCTAAGGATTTCAATAAGTGGGCGGGGCACATAGCTCGTACAGATGGCTTATGCTCATCACGTCATAATTTGCTCTCGTTAGAATTCGAACGAAATTTGCAAATCCTTGGTTCGTAAACTATCTGACCAAGTAACCATAATTGAGGATCAACTACAAGTACTAGTGCTTAAACTCAAACTTCTTAACAGCGAAAGATTCTTACCTATAGTCAGGGTGCTTCTCCATGTGAAGTTTGGACAGCCGCGACTGTTCCTCGTAATACGGCTGCTTCTCCGCATTCGACATGGCCTTCCACCTGGCCCCCAATATCTTGGAGATGTTAGAGTTGTGCATATCAGGACAGGCCTTCAGGATTTTCCTGCGTTCGTCCTTGGCCCAGACCATGAAGGCGTTCATGGGCCGCTTGATGTGAGGTTTGCCGGCCTCGTCACGACGCGGCTGGCGGACTAGCTTCGCCTTGTCCACTTCCTCTTGGGGAGACTGGTTCCATGATGCTGGAATTGAGAAAAACATCGATTAAGATTAAGATTTCCTAATCTATCTTGGATATAGGACAATCAGGGTTTACTCGTATAGCCAGTTAGATGTGCATCACAAAATTAAGTCAATCTCCTAAACTAAGCAAAATCGAAGAACATACGAAGATGATTTGGATACACCTTGATGTAAGGAATCAAAATTTTAGCTTTGAACGTCAACTCCCTGGCCATACTGTATATCTAACCACACACTTCGTTTAGCTGTCATGACTGTGAGCAGGTAATTACTAACTGGAGTAAGTCGATGTCAGATATGAGGTTTATTCATAAAATATAGTTTGAAATAGTAACAGAACCGGTGGCTGTAAAGATTAAATTGTAAATAACATAAAACCAATAAATCATACACCGAAATATTTACAACAACCAGTAGCAAAAAACCATACAAAATTACTGTTCCAAATAGTGTCGTAAAGAAATAAAATACATGACGCACATCTCATTCATTGGATAATGAAACAGATAAACCTCTGTGTTTACGTCTTGTAAGTATTATTATTACCTACGCTACAATTTTATTAAAGTTGAACTACTCAATAGGAAGCAGAGTTAAGCCAGTTGTAAATTATCGGGCCTGAGAGCCGTTTAAAACAATCGTAAAATGAGATTATGAACTACTTGAACGAATAGCATTAAAGACGTGTGCTCTAGCGCAGCGTTACAAGACACTGAGGTGAAACGCGTGCGAGGGATCTGCGAAAAAAGTATAGTCGCAAACAAAAGTTTTAAATATTTATGATAACGTTGACAGCTTAGAATATCTTTCAGTAGGCCTAGACATAGAAATAACAGACATTTTTATTAATACTCGTGTAGACATGTGATATCGACCGACTTTAGTTTAGGCATATTTACGGCGTGACCTAAAAATATTTATCTACCAACGTAGGTAATTCATAAAAAGGTTAAAATTAAATTTGATTTGTTTTCTAAAACATCATTAGTACACTAAAATTTTGTACCTACCTGTAGGTAATGTTCCTTATTTTATTTCCATCTCAAGACAAAACTCTAAACTAAGAGATTAAATAAATTAAAAAATACAACATCCTTTGTACAAGATCACGTTTTAGAGAAATTCTTTATTTGTAAATCAACAGGTGTTATGGGATTAGTCTATTTTACGGCGCACGCGCACAGTTAAGGCTATTTTTACGATGACGAATTAATTCATTACAATATTATAATTAAGATTCACATAAACTCTTCTTTCTAAATATAGTTTTAAACTTCGTGCGGTTGTAAATTAAGGTTTTTATTTTGAAGTATTATTTTGTCATTAGAATACATCAGATTTGGATAATAAAGAAGTATCTGACGAATGGTTGGGTTTCTTTTAGCTATAAATTATAATTTTATAATAACAATTAAAGCAGTAGTTAATGTTATGATTTTTTTCTTTAGCAACTGACAAAATAATGACAAAAAAAGTCTTTCAAATCACCAGTCTAAGCTCTTCTTATTTAGAAAACCCTAAGTACTGATTAAGCCCCCTTATAATCCTCAGAATACAGAAATACCAGCTGTTTATTCTAATAGTGTCCTTACAATAATAAAGTGCAACTAAATCAAATTTTAGTGTCCACGCAAATAGCTCGCGCGACGTAAAACGCGTTTACACTAATCAAATCGAATAATGATTGCTACTATTTTATAACAAGATTCATAAAGGCACTTTTAAGCAGGGATGTATTGCCACTGTTAGTGTTCATCATCATCAGGTCATTCAGTCTTCACTGCAGGAGTACTACCTGCTTTAAGTACCTACTTGAAGCAAATTAATAATTTGATTTGAACTATACCACCTTATTCTACCCCACTTGGGTGAGGTCTTTGTCCTGCAGTGGGACGTATTACTTTGCTTTGCAAGGCATGTAGTTACCTATATTTAGTTTTAATTTTCTTCTAAAAGTTTTTCACTGTCATCCTCCATACTGGTAGCTGCTGCAGCTGTAGGTACTTATTCTAGTACTTTTTTTTTCAAACGATTACAACAATGTTGTGTAGTTATAAAATTTTTAGCGTTAAGAGTCGCATCTCAAACTAATTTGTAATTAGGCAGTTCGATTTTTTCAAGTTATTTATAATTTTCAAACAATGTTGTGTTCCGGCAGTTGGAGATAAGATAGCCAGTTCCTCTGTGGTTGAGGATTCCGGTTGAAGAACGCTTCTACCTTCAGCCTGATCATCACTCTCTACCCTGAGATGCAGACCAAGAGCTTCCTCATGGATAAAAAGATGTATTTTTTTTACAATGATAAAATCATTGTCATCCCCAACTCACTCCCATCACTACCAAATATGTGGGTCAGATGCGCATCCGCTAGCATTTCGCTGACGGATCGGGCCCGCTCCGATTAATAAGCGCGGATACGTCCCGCTCTCAGAGCGCATTCCGCGTATTAATTTGACACGCTGTTAGATAATTTATAACATCCTACGGCTGCTGAGATGCGACGGAACGGACTGTCGCGCGGATTTTTTAGACATCTTTTGTTCATCATCAAACTCGATGACTGGACACACGTGTAATAGAAAGAAATAAATTATGGGCATATTGTATCACCAATCAATTGACATAGGTACTTTTTACTATTTACAAAAATTAAGAATAAGACTAAGAAATTCATATAATAATGTTCATTACATATCAAATTTTCAATACATTTTCTTATTAATTTATTAAATTATTTCTTGTTAAATTAAATTGTCTGGTGTTCCCCATATTAATCATAACAATAGAAATCATTGTCGATTTCATATTTATAGTTTAAGCATAACTTTAGGCGCTTTTATATTTTGTGACACAACATGCTTTAAATCTACCGACCATTCTAAACAAACATCAAGTTAAAGTAGATTTTTGTTAAAAAATAAAATAAAACATTAATTTATCTTTTCTTATGAGAAAATAAATGTAATTCGTGTATTTTATTTAACCTGATAAGTAGGTACCTATGTATTAAAAATCGTCGGAGTTTACTTTTATCAAAGGAGCTTTAAACAGTTTGGCACTTGTGCGCCCGAGTGTACCGAGTAGGGATGAACGGAAGTCTGCTTGGAGCGATCTATTTCGCATTTTACGCGATCCTTTTGTCACAGCAAATGATAATTTACATAGGCCGAGGGTAAATGACCCTTTTGATTGTAGATTATAGTTAATGATTTTATGTTGACTAGTTGTTGGTAGAAACTTCATTTCTACTAACCACGGACAATCTTGTGTTTTGTACTAAATTACACTTAGGCCAAAGTTATAAAGTTGTAATAATTTTCAACCGGAAGCAGTCAAATCGCAGAATTCAAATTTTGCCTTCCCATACAAACTTCCATGGGACATGAAAAGGCATTTTTTTGCGATTTCCATTGCAGTAAATGTTTATTTTTATGATTAATTTATTAAAATTCTTGTAAGTAACTAAGAAAAAATATAATTTAGTGTCTACATGTTAGGTACTTTCACTGTTAATGTATAAAAACATTGAATAAATAAGTACACTTCAGGGCAGTATACAGGGCGGGCGGGCGGAAGTGGGCATCGCGAGCGCCATCTATTTCGCGTCCCGCTCGTCTTGTTGTAGAGGAAGCCGAACGACACTTGCGATTTTGTAACCATCCCGGATTGGGAATGAGCCAACTATTTAAAGTGCTATTTGTTTTATTATTCGCATGATGTATGGCTATTCGAAGTTTTGGCCGTTTTCGAATTTGTATGAAATATCAATAAAGAATAAATAAATGTCTATTAAAGAGATAACTCATGAGTAGTTTTTTATGTTTAGTAAAACTAAAACATTAATAAATTCGTATTTTTCTGAAAACTAATGAGCGACTGGGGAAATAGTGAACTTAAGTTTTTTAAACTGTTAATATTTAATGAGTCAAAAAATGAAAAATAAGCTAATGTTATAAGACCAAACAGCAATAACTAAACAGATTCTGATAACATCAAAGGTTTACAACGACCGACATACGCTTCTACTTCTAACTGAGCACCGAATTACCATTATAATCTTAAAACCCACATTACAAGAAAACAAATTACAATGGAGCCGAAATCTTAGGAATGTCATTAAGTAACACCCGTTTTAAACGCCACACAATATACAGGGTGGTATAGAAAACATTTTTTAGCTAGGTTCAGAAAAAAGTTTATTTTTTTTTAATAATTCTTAAGTAGGTACCTACTTGTTTAAAAAATTATGAATGAAATGTAAGAAAGCACCGCGTAAAATAATAACTTTCACATTAATTATGAAACTGAATCTGTTGATAGGTATTTAACATGACAAATGCCGTAATAAAATCACGTAATAAGTACCTACTTGCGTTTCATTAAGAAATGATTTACATTTACGTCATTCGTTAACACTGACACCCTGTATAACGTGAGCAATAAAAATAAATCCGAAAACTGGTACGACAGTTTACGAAGCCACATGTAGATTATATCAGGTATAATTAATTTCTTACGTATACATTGCTACATCTCTCAATTCCATACACTCAGATATCTGGGCAGGCGGTGGTTCTAGCACAGTGTAGCTAAATGCAGTAGACTTAGTAGGGAAAGTGGTTGAAAACACTATTAAATTTTACGTTTGTTGTAGTTTTTGATAGGTTGAATTTCAATATTTATTATATAAAAAATAACGTAATTAGAGATTGAATCGGGTTATAAGTGTTCTTTTACGATAAAGATCTTGTAGTTGCTAATAAATCATGCGGGCTGCGTTTACTTTGACCCGTTCACAGAATCATAGAATGCACCCAGTGTGAAACTTTTAGTAAAAAAAAAAGGAAACCGTGACATTATTACCCGTCTTGTTTTTATAATTCGGCCAATTGAATTGAAATAATCATCATAATTTCAACCATAGGACGTCCACTGCTGAACATAAGCCTCCCCCAATGCTTTCCATGTTGCCCGGTTGGTAGCGGCCTGCGTCCAGCGC